CAGTGTGTGTGCGTGATTTATACGAGATGATATTTTCAGTCAAACTTTTCTTTCTTTTCCGGGAGAAGAAGTCAGAAATGTCGTGGGAAAGTGGTCGGGCGAGCTTGATAAAATGCATGAGGGAATTTATGATTTTGCTCCAAGTAAAAGCAAATCTACATCTTTGTGCTCTCATTGAGGAAGACCACCTTCTGATTTTCCTCAGCATCCACTCAGTGTGAAGAAATGCTCTTAAACTTTTTATGAGCATAAATTTTAGGCTGATAGCCTTATAAAACCCCATGTGACTGAAAGTGTCGTGAATAAAATTCATCTTGTGGTAACTGTTGAGGCCCGCCAGTGGAGTGGCTTTTTATTTTTGCCTCGCCTACGGCAAATCAGGGATGGAGTGGGTGGGATTGAAAGGGTTGAATATTTTATATATATCCTCCGTACCGTCATTTTGCAATATTTAAACTATTAAGTGTATTTACTTTTACGATATAATGGTATTGTAAGTGTGTGAATTTCCAAAATTTCCATAATGTCTCTCTTTCCGCGCAATTCTGCTGTCTCTGCACACCATTTTGTCCGGGTCGCTTGCCCCAATTTTGACAATGATATAAGCAATATCAGCGAAAGTTAATGAAATAAAAGGCAAATTAATGGTGTTCCATACAAGACATTAAATTCAACCCTTGGGAACCATCCCCTATGAATGACTCTCCTTAATGACACCCAACTAAAGAATCTACCAAGTCCCCGTGGATGAAAATGGGAGAGAGATGTCTTGTTGGGGAATTTCACTTTCAGTCCAAATTGTTCCAAGCTGTAACCGTTAAATGGCAACTTTTGCTATATACTATTATTTTTATACCCATCTAATACCCCCATCGAGGCACTATAAACATTTGGAAAATTGTAAAATGTAAACAAATGCGATGATGCAAGGTATTTAAATTGTGTTATTCTTATTTCAACAATTCACTTTACATGGCGCACAGCACAATGAAAATGCTAGCGAAACACCAAATTTCTTCATTATTTAAATGAGCGAGGAGCGCAGACTTTTGACATAATTACGAAGGATGACGTTACAACACTATACAGGATTTCCCTTCGCGGAGCGCGTCTTGTGTGGGACGACACACAGTGTTGTTGTTGGAAAAATTGGCGGAAAAGGGAACATCTAGAATCACGTCACATATTACCCAGAGTATATATTCTCCGTGGGTGTTTATCGGAACAGATCATTTAACAGTATTAGAGAGTCAATTTTCATTGAAATCTCATTGACTGTGCGGCGCACGGATCAATTTCTCCCAAATGATCTCTTATGTACTTGCGCTATGTGGCATCAGACTTATCAGCATTGGAGATGATTTTATTGTGCATGTGTTTGTGTATAAATTGCCTTTTCTTGCCGAAAATATCTGACTGATTAACTTTTCTTTGGCAACAACTTTGGCGAGTCTCGCACAAAATTTCTCTCCCTGCGTTTATTATCATGGAAATTTCCCCCATGCCACTTTTCCTTGGAAAAACCATTTCTAGCGAGCGAGCGAGAGAGAGAGAGCGAAAGAGAGTGTTCATGCTTTTTCCTACTTGATGTTTCTTGCCACTTTTCTTCATGTTTTTGTTAACTTGAAATGGTATATATTTTGCTCACAAGAAAATTCTTCTCGTTCCTTTCATTCACATCGTAAGTTTGGTTCATTCCTTCTGAATCATCTGGGCAGCATTAAGTACATTTTAAAATGAACTATTTTACAAAGAAAGCTTTTTAACTATGAAAAATGTAATTGTGAATTCCTTCGGTGAAGAATTTTGCCGAGAAATTCAATGCAAAATATAGCTTTTCGTTTAATTAAATGATTCTGTAATGGGACTGAAAATGCCCTCTGTAACCAGAGAAACACTCAAGCCACTCTTTCTCGTCTATTAATCAAGTGCGATTAATATCTGCTATAAAAGCTCCGTACTGGTAAGGAAAGTTTTCCTCCAAAATTCGCCAACAAATAAATTCTGGTCTTGTGATTACCGGCCAAATAAATTCAGTTTTATTCCAAAGGTCTCTCCTCTCTGTGGACGCGTATAAAATATTTCCTTTGCCGATCCCCATACAAAATGTTACTAATATTTCATGTATTGTGTGGGTGAGAGAATGACTGAGCTTAGCGCGGTCTTACCTTTGACAAAGCCGCGTGAGAAAGTGGGCAGAAAGCGAGAAAAGGTGTCGCTGAATGCGTGAAATGATTGTAACATCAGGAAGGTGAGCTCCTCGATGAGTATTTAACCATGCCAAATCCATTTCTCAAAGAGTTATGGGATACCACAGGGGAAACCTCAATATAAACCCAGTGCCGTGACCACGTCTATACGTGCTCCTTGCCTATCGAGCGTTAAATATGGCAATAACATCACGAGTTTTGGGGAAGTTTTTCACGTAATACGTGACGAAGTTCACAAAACCGAATAAAACGTGAACAGAGTGATCGAATTGTCGAGGCGGGCTGTAAGCCCGTGCATGGGATAATGTTAGGCATCGGGCTGGCAATACTTGGCCGTCCGCATGGACCTCATGGTGATGCCCAGCATTCGCCCTCTCTCTATTTATTTTACTCAATATACAGAATGTCAATAAAACAATGTAATACTGAATAATTTTTAGCTCATACTGTTTGCCCACCGACCGTAGCTTCCCGAGCTCCGCATTCCCGGAATTGTACTCAATCAAAAAGTTCCAACCCCGCACACGGTATTTATATTACGGATGAAACTTTTATTTCACAGACGACAAACATATTTCCATCGGTGGATGGTAGAAAATCGTCAATTGATGCTGAATGTCGTTTCTCTTCCATTTTGTGTGCGCGACAAATTACAAATGAAGAGTGCTAAAAACACAACCCTCTCCTTGCCGCTCCACCCACCGACAATTCATCCTCCCCGCATTTGGCAAATGTACATAGCAACTACCACATTTGGAGTATTGTTAGATAAAATTGAGGAATAACAATGAATGGTGAATTTCGGGTGAAATTCAGCAGACTTTCTATTCAAGCACCGTGTTGGAAAAGCGAACCACACATTCTCCCAATGTGGAGGCATGTACGTAGGGATGGACATGATGTTTGAGTTAAATTAAAGGGTGTCACAATGGGGTTGGTTGAATTCAAGCAACCAACCATGAGATGAAACTTGTTGTATCATATATAATAATCCCATGATACATATACAATATGTAGCACATCCATCTAATACACGTACAATACATACATCTATATGTATTGTACATCTATTGGAGAATTGTCTTTCGAAATCATTGGCAGAGACATGTGCATCACCCAGAAACGAGCGCTGGAAATATAGTTTAGAAGAGACTTTAGCGACACTCTGTACATAGAGCAAGTTTAAATTGAACGTTCCGCCCGTAATGACTTCCTTTCGACTTATCTTCTTTATCTTCTCCACACTTCACAAACAATATACATATGTATGGAGATGGTGAAGCTTGAGCGCTCCACTACGTGATCCTACTGCTGTTGGAGATATCCTATTTCTTAACCGCTCCCACTCCACGCGCAGCCCTCGCCCACCCATTCAAAATGGACTTGAGCGAAAGTGTACATGGCCAATGGTAGTTGCCTAAACAAGTATGAGCATGGCGTCCAAGGAGGGGATAAGAAAAAGAAAACAATTTCTGTAAATTCACAAAATAGCATTCCTCCATTGCAGGATACAATTAGGAAGTAAATAATCTGTACTGTAAACATGCAATTTGCGCTCTTCGAAAGTTTATCCATTCATCTTCATTTGGAATCACAGTGAGCGTCGCTAGCATTTATGGAAGAATATATTGACGCAATTGGACAGTGTGTCTCATCGTGAGAGCGTAATAATCATGAAAGCAGAATTCACTCGACCTCGATCTGACTCATCCTTATTTTTCCGCCACCATTCATCTCTCGTCAGAAGAGCCACGAGATACAGAGAGACATACAATTTTATGGGTAGATTATTTAATTCCTGCCCAACATTAGGAACATCTGCACAAATAAATCTTTTATATATGTATTCCCATTCATGACCATGACTGCGAATATCTGTGCAGAGGATAATGACTTAATTATTAACATACTGAAATCCTTAGAAAAATTTCTACAAGACTCGAACAATATAAAAAATTTTTTTTAATAATTTATTTTCACTTCCACAGCACATAGCCAAATGACATTCGTCAAGCAATAAGCATCTTCTCTTGGAGTTGTGGCGCAAGCATCCTCAATTCACTTCTTTAATATTTCACGCAGGACATGGAGAGGAATATAAAAAAAAAACTTTTTAGACATGCATTTACCAAAAGTATGAAGGCTCATTGGAGGGAGAGACGGATATTCGTAACAGAAAATACTTGTCACGCAGAAACATAATTCGAATTATGTCGACAACAACATTGAATAGAAACTCCCATAAAATTTGTCAAGTCGACAGAAAAACATCATTTCTAAGTTATTGTATTGCCTCAACTTCACAAAAAGATTTTCCTGCTATGCTACACATACACACACACACACACACACTCGCATGAAATACACAACATGAGAGAGAAAATACCAGTCTTGAAAAAGAGAAAACAGGGAAATTATTCGATGTGTTCGCATTTTTTGCCATAGTTTGTTGTTATTGTCGACTCATTCTTCGTCTGTACCAATGGTGACAGGATTTGTGATTGCTTTCTAGGTCATATTGAGCAAGGATCATATAAATCAGAAGCAAAATATAGTTTCTCGTTTCCGACTAATACATCTACGAGCTCAAAGGAATAATACATTGTACACTAGAAAAACTTCCAGCATCAAACTAGAAGACTAAGAGGATATTAAATAAATATGTGGTACTAAATAGCGTCGAAAAAGATGAGGAAAAGATAAAATAAGATACACGCAGAAATTGTTGTGTACGTAAATTTCAGTATTGGCGTGATTTAATGCATTCTATTTCCAATTTAATCGTTTCAGGTGCAAAGTGGTGGGCTCCGACTACCCTTGACAGGATTGGCACCCCCTAGAGTTCTCATGTGTAGCGCCTCGATGGGTGCCGAGGGATCCGTGACACTCCAATTGCGTGAAGCTGTTCAAGCACCTGACGCAGCAGCTCCACTGGATGCCGCTCTCACGATAGGCTATCCTGATCCTGAAATTCTAGCCGATATGCTCGGCACTCTGGGCAATTTGCAAGCAGCAGGTGAGACTCTTTTTACGCTCCGTGATAAATTCCCCTCTCGCTAAATGATATAAATTAAGCCCGCACATCCCGGGAAATCCATTGGCATACACCAGCAGCACGAGGAGGAAAATTGAAAATGCTTCAGAGAGTCCTCTTATTCAGTTTATATTGATTTTCCCTTCATGTGATATGGGTTTGGGGATGGGGTGGGTAGAAGTGCCTCTTAAAAGGATGTGGGAAATTTTATTTTCAGCCAAATGGATGTCATATCAGTGAAAATTTTCGATTCTCCTTATTTGCATAGTAAATTTTCTCTTTTCATCCCACCCATGCTATTGTGAATATGACGCAGTCTCTTACTATGTCAGGGCCCGGAATATGGCAAGAGACGAAGGAATTTTCCCTGCATAAATACCAAATTTATTCGTTTTGATATGCATTGGAATTTTTCACGACAAGAGAATAAGAGGAAGAGAGCACCTCTTGGCTTTTGTAAAGGTGTACACAGAAGCATTGGGAGAGTATGGCTGTAGGTGAAAAGTGGAGCAATTCTGTGCGATTTCCGTTTTCCCATTTTCAAGTTTTCCATCACAAAATATCACACTCATGTGTAGGGGAGTGATGCCTAATGCGGTTGTGACTTGAGAGAAAAGTCATGTATTTTTATTGGGAAATATTTTGCAAGTTACATAAAATTTGTATTCTATTGAGAAATGTAATGTTCTGAAAATTTGGGCAGTTCCCGTTTTGGCAGACACTTCCCTACACCCTTCAAATAGGATTTACTTTTCTTGTTTCACATTTCCATTTTCGCTGAATTGCTGTCGTTTTCTATGTCTGCTCTCAAGAAATTTATTTTTGGCAATTCAATAGTAGTGTAGAGTACGGCAGAGATTGTCATCGTAATGAAAGTGTCATGATTTTTCTGCATCGCATGGCATTTAAGGCAGTCAAAAGCGGGAGAGAGAAAGAGAGGGATAATAGAGAGTGAGTGAATATCCTCAGTTTAAATTATACATGGTAAGAATTTGCATAATAAACCATGTAAATCACACTACAAACTGTAGGCACTATATAATATGAAATGGTTAAGATTATAGGAAGATGTTTGAACAATAAATCTACAGCCTTCATTCTCATTGTTCCTTCACTATTCATACTATTATTCTCCCATGTTTTATTCTTCCCATCCATTCTAATTTAACTTCCTATACTGTTCGCCAACGGAAGAGGTTGTGGAGGGTAAATACAGTAAAATTGAATGTGGTGTTTGCATTCTGAATCAAAATAGTGGTAAAATTTTCCAACCAACCACCACGAGATGGCTTGATAGAGAATAAATGTACATACATATGTATGCTGAAGGGAAAAAAAGTACAATTTTCCCTCGAGTTTGCTGTTCTTTTCACTTCTCGAAACACCCCACCGGAGAGGGAGCAGACTGAAATTACTGTACGATCTCTCTCTCTATCTCGTCTATGGGGATACAATTAAGTGGCAACAACTTTATGTATTGAAGAAAGTCCATCACATATTCACCAGTGTTCGTTAGAAGGAATTCGAGAGCAAACTGTTATAGGGACTCATCACTAAATAAAGACGGGAAATGTGTTCTCACCGAAATCCTCTTTAAAGTATCTGTTTATGGAACTGATATTTAATTCATATAATGTGTTTTGAAATTTACCCAGGAGTTTTAAGGACACATGAGACCGCCATTTACATTAGAAACTATCTCGCTGTATTTCAATCTCTATCATCCACTCTGTCTCTCTCTGTCTCCTTTCAGCAACCAATACGAACAGCAGTGGTGGTGGCAGCAGCAGCAAAAATAATAATGAGACATCAACATCAAACGGCAGCAATGCAAATGCGATGTCAGTGAAAAAGGCCCGACCCAAAACAGCATCACCAACTCGTCACGGACCGCAGCAGTGCCAGGTGAAAATTTAATAACACTCACTATATACTCACCGAAAACATTTCCATCCTCTCTGCCCAGCCAGACTCTATTTGAATTTTCCCCGCTTTCTTCTCGAGTGCAACATTGAAAACAACATACCAGGGCACGAAGGGGCTGAGGGAGGACTCGCGTCTATTATCATTTTATCAACGTAGCAGTCATGCTCACTAAATTGCCAAGCAATTTACAATGTCATCGTCGTAAATTGGTTTCACATTCATTTTCCTTCTCAAGAGCCAGAGGAGAAATTGTAAATTCAATGCCATCATTAGCTTTCTTCATTTAAAATGAGAGGCAGTGTGAGGGGTTGTAAGCATACCCAAAGTGTAAGTGAGGTCCGTACTCCGGATCACGAGGAAATTAATAATATATTTTGCACAAGTAAAGAGCTTCCAGGCGCTATATATGGTTGCTTGAAGAAAAATGTCGGGTATGTTTCTTTGTGAAAAAAAGGTAGAATAAAAATAAGAAAGGTTCTATTCACATACAAGGACCTGTAATAATTAAAATTTCGTAGAAATTATACAGATTTTTGGACAAAAAAAATATACACACAAACATAGGTATTAAATTTCAATTCTAATTAATTGCAAATTTCATAAACGATATAAACTTTCATATTGGGAATTTTTGAAAACCACTGACAACATACATTTTCCCCTCACATTTTCAATCCTCCAGAGTACTTTCCAATACATTACAGCTAAATTAGTGTGACTCTTTTGAGTTTCAAATGACTGCTGGTGATACTACAATGCGGTCCTGTCGGCGAATAAATTTTAAAGCTGGACGTAAACCTTTAATTTAGGAGAGAATTCGAGGAATTGCAAAGAGAAATAAAAAAAATCGTCGTCCTTCAGAATTTTAATTCAAAATTTATGAAAAGCAAATGGAATTAGAAGAAACCCTTTCTTTTTTCTGAATGCAGGAGCGCGACGAAGCACTTTGGCCATGATTCGCTGAAATTCTGCTATCAATTCCACACTCTTGATTTATTTGCCATCAAACCACAAAACGATTTAGTATGAATTTCAATTAGGGTGAATGCCTTTGGAGTATACACGAGAGATATCTTGAAGGGTGGGTGTACATATTGCGGGGACAATTTGGAAACAATTGATATTGAAATTCAATGATACCTCACATGGAGAATGTATGTACATACTTCACCGAACTTGAGGGTATATTCGTCTTAGAAGCAATTTTTAAAATATCGCTGCGAAACATAAATGCGAGAGGAGTGAGCGGATCAAGAAACATAAACAAGTTTTTTCTTCTGCTCATGACTTTCCTATCCATAAAATGAAATAGAAATTCATTCGTGCCAAATTGGTTTCGTCTTTCACAGGATGTTCCACTTTCTACTCCCACTTTTGTCCTGAGTTCTCTCTTTCTCTCCTCAACATAGCAATGGAATGGTCCAAGGGTGAAATTTAAACATTTTCACGTGTCACAATTGCAATTTTTTCGGGGCGACTGCGGGGGGTTTTGATGTGTCAGACTAAAAGAAGAATACGAATTGTGTAGATGTGTGCAGAACGACCATGGTTATCTTTTACGGTGACAGGAGTCTAATGGAGTTTGTGCGTCGTTTGAATTTTAAGTGCCACTTGATTTCTCTCTCTTCACACACATTTTACCTTTTTCTGCGCATTCATTTCCGTTTTCTTTCACCAACACCCCGCAATGCTGTTCCGACTGACGGACCACCACCCCCGAGTGGGTGGAACGGGTGTAATGTTGCAGACACTCTGGAAGAGAGAAAGGATGTCACTATTTATTTGTCTTCCTCACACACCACACAATTCCATCATCCTTCTGCTCAACGTCCACAAAGTGGGGCTTCTCGCAACTGCGTCGAAGATTATGAAAACAACAGACAGTGAATTTACTTTGAAATTTATGATAAGTAATTTTTAAGTCCACAAGCTGTGAGACTGCAAACAATTCTTTAATGTAGCACAGAACCAGAGATGCTTTAAGTTTATTAGGTCACACTAAGTTCTGAAATGATCTGTAGAAATTTGGGCATATGAAGAAAAAGTATTAAATAAAAAAATCTATTTCTAATGCAGCTATTCAACTTGATAACGCAGTTGGCTTTAATTTATGCAAAGCAAATATGTATTTTAAACATTAATTTCACGTTCCATTTTCCTCATTATTTCGAAAGTTATCATGTTTTTAATGTTTAAAATTTTGCTGTCCTGCTTCGTTCTGGAAATTCACAGCTTGTCTGTTCACACACCCTTCGGTACAGTCTACAGCTTTTAATTTCTTCCCCACCATCCCTACCTTTTGTGATGAATTCCTATCATTAATTTACAATTTTCATAGATATAAAATTTTCCTCCTAATGATCTGCCACCACTACTTCTGCCACTCATGATATATTTTCGCTAAATTGATTTATATTGAAGGGAAGATGGAATTAATTCGAGATTCAGTCAAAATGGTATTTGAAAAGGGAGCTAGCACAAAGGATGAGTGAGAAGTTGAAAGCTGGGAAAAGGCAGAGAGGAAAGTTGTAGCGAAAAAATGCGGGAATTACGATAATTATTCTTGCTCAACTATGCAGAAGAATTTATTTTTGTCAGTCAAGCGCGCGCGAGGGGAGATTTTCCACTCTACACAAAGGAATCTCAAATACCTGCAATTCTCGGCGGTGCCCATTACATAAAAATGATAAGGAGAGGAATAAAATAAAAGACCTTCGTCATTAGTAATATTTTTGTATGCTCAATTCCCGGCGGGGGGATGAATGTGCTCCGCTCGAACCTCAGTCTATTGTGATGATTTGGGTTGAATGAATAAAATGCCTCCCTCTTCTCACCCCGCTTTTTATCTTCTGTATAGGTATGCAGCAAAGTGTTTGGGAATGCCTCCGCCCTGGCTAAGCATAAATTAACACATAGCGACGAGCGAAAGTATGTGTGTGGGATGTGCTCGAAGGCCTTCAAGAGGCAGGATCATCTGTGAGTATTGAGGTCCACCCCAATTGGCTCCCGTCCACTAATTTGTCCAATATCTCACCACCGCAGAAATGGCCATATGCTGACTCACAGGAATAAAAAGCCGTACGAGTGCAAAGCCGAAGGCTGCGGAAAGTCCTATTGTGATGCCAGATCTCTAAGGCGACACACAGAGAATCATCACAGCTCGCTGGCAATGACACCAACAACCCCACATTCATCATTGTCATCCTCAACAGGACCGCCAACTGGGCTGAGCTTGTCACCAGCCACAGCTAGCGGTTAGTAAAAGCTTCCCAAACTTCAAATTAATATACACCAATTCATATTCCTAGTTATTTTTACCCTCACACTGTGCAATGCATTACAATCGTATTATGTCTGGGACAAATTAGGTGATGCCAGCTCGCCGCACGGAGCCACTTGCATCCCCTTCAGCTCGGCCAACGACAACATCAGCTCCAAACCCTCATCGCCCAGCTCCCCAGCAGGAGTCGGCAATGAGGGTCTCACACGCCAACAGTTGGATCTCATCAGTCAAATTATGCAGCAGACGAAACAAGCCAACGCGGGCTTGACAGCCTCAGCTGGACAACGTCAGACAACGCGTCCCAGAACTTGGAACATGCAGGTAAGCTCCCAATCGGGTTTTTCCCCACATCACAAGCGACTGGTTGACATTCTGATTGCACTGAGTTGCATTGATTTACTGAAAGCCAATCATAAATGCTAATTACCTTTATTACTGATTTATTATTGGCTCTCCCCAAAGTTACAAATGAACATATTTCCTCTGGGAGAATATTTCAGAAAGCTCTCTCAGTTTAGACAGTAAGATGCACAAACTCTCTTAAGTTAATAACTTTGTTGGAGTTCATAATCAAATACTGAATACATACATAAATGCATGAGCCTTTGTATGGCATTATCCATAATTAAATAAGAAAACCCGTAAATTGAATATCGTAAGATATTTATAGAGAAAATGGAAGGAAGACGTCAACGAATGTAGCATAACAACATTTCACTATTTTCATGGTTGATTGGCTAACCTTCACCCATATATTTTCTTTGGAGAATGTTTGAGAATGCCAACATGGCAATTTCCTCCCACATATTTCCCCCTTGGTCCACAAAGTCCTTCCGTGACTCGGCCATCAGAAGGGTTCATGTTCAGTTGAACCCTTTTTATCTCGTCAATGGAGACTACCAGTGGTGCGCGCTTTCTTTTTTTATTAGTGAAAAGAAAGCGGGGGCAATTTATTGTTGAGAAAATAAGGATTTAGGAAACAATAAAACAGATTTATTGCTGTATTCAGCGGGGTGCGGTATGTGAAGTTGAGGATGAGTACCCAGAATAACACTAATAATAATAATAAAGAGGAAAACAATGTGCCATCGTAAAATATTTCATTTCCCCCGTCCGCACGGCGAATTATGCCTGTTAACTCCTGTATTATTTATCATCAATTGAATATTAAATATCAGGAACTGTGGGTGACCGCCGAAGAGCCAACACACCAGGTGAACTCTGCATGAATTTATGCCAAATTGATTATTTGATTCTTTTGCAGCGCAATTCATGCGCTATTCATTCGCTCTCCTTCGTCCGGAAAGCCCCGGGAGACAGGACATGGGGAGTTTGGATGGGGGCAAAAAGGAACTTTTAACTGGCAAAGTGTTAACTTCATCCATAAATCCGCAATATAATATTGAGATCCTTGGGAACAAGTTTCTCATGTTCATTCATCCAGAAAGTCGAACATCACCAGATGTTGGAACTTCAGCTCACCAATTCCCACCCACTGGAGTCGGCCGCCCCCAGAAAACCACTTTCATTTTACTTTGTGTGTGCCAAAAACCTATGCACATATCGAAGGACTGGGGGTTTGGGGACTGCCAGTGGGTGAGATATTGGTGGCTTGAGAATAAAATGTGTTGGGTGGCGCTGCGATGATTTTCATTGTCTGCAAAAATAAATGCAGATATATGGAGAGCTTTTCCTTCCCTCTTTCGCCCATTTTCACACGATGTGGGGCGTGTATGTGCGCCCATGCGAGGGTGGTTTCCAAGTCGGGGAAAAAATTCCAGTTCACTAAATCGAATTATACTGATTCCACACAATTCTTTCTGTCTCTTCTCACATGCCCTATACATACATTATTTGTGTGAGACAATCCAAATGTTCAATGGGGGTAAAGCGGAGGAACACACCGTGGAATAGAGAGCTTTCACTACTTCACAAATCTCTTAGATTTTATTGTCCAACCTCGCCTGCGGCATCGCGCGAGCCGCGGGAGTAGCGTAATCCAGCACAGGGAAAAAGAGGAGTCGAATAATCAAAAATTGGCATTTTGCATGTGATTATTTGCGTATCGTCTATAGTTTCGCGGTATATGTGTTTTGTATAAATTTGCCAAGTATGTTGAAAGTGAGCCAAAAGTATAGTGGCTTCTACATGTGGCACAGAACACCATCGCGAGTATACCGTAAAGACTTTAGCCTTTGACCCATTGGCAACTCCACTGTTCGCCTGGTAGGGTGATCTTATATGTGTATGCATTGGGCTTTTCTCCTTTCTATATCCCATCTGCTCATTGTTCTTTCCCACTCAATATCACCATATTCCTGTCGTACGTATGACTCCATTTAAGAGGATATAAGGTCCATTAAGGGTAGAATTTTCTCCTTTCCTCGGCTGCTCTGCACTAATATTTTTCTAGACTTAGTGCGGTGGTTTGCTCAACTAAATAAAATTCAGCAGAGATGCGAAGTGAATGTGGTGGTCTTCCGAGCTTTTCCACACCTGTTCCCAAACCCTTTGTTGCCTACTCTTCGTGAGGCCATTCCTCGACCTCATCTCATTTTATAATGACACACCTAGCGAGAGAAAGAGAGAGAGAGAGAGTCGTGGTGCGAAAAAATAGCAAAGAGGTGGCTCTCGTGCAGAGTCACCAGAGGCATATAGTTAAAGGGAGGGAAATTACAAAGCGAACAGAAAGTTATAATCTCTAAAATCATACACCACATACTCAGTAAATGCTCCGTCACACAATACTCCTCAGCAGCACATGGGACTCAAAAGTTACAAAGCGTGGGGGATTGGAAGCTCTTTTTCGAGAGCTTGAAAGCCTCCTAGCACTCTCCCTTCGAGCATCCGCACATAAAATGGCGCTTGCCTCAATTACTTTAGCACAGCTTTTATCAAATGCTCTCCACACTCTGTGTACTCCCTGTGTGAAAGTACATAAACATATACTCTGGCTTGGCCAAAGAGACTCTTGCGTTTTCTACAATTTCCATTTTAATGATTGCAATGAAAATGAAAACAAAAAGCTCTGGCACAGAAGGAAAAGCTCTCTGCACATACAATTCATGATTTCGCCTATTTATGAACGCGTAGGGGAAGGTCTCTCGAGCGTGGTCAGTTCTTCGATAAATAGTACATTTATCTTCTGGCGCCCATTGAGTATGACTGCGTAGATAAGGGGTCATTTAACCGTATCGCCAAAGTACAAAATATATGTTCAATTATATCTATCCCGCTGCATCCTCCTCTACAACAGGGCGAAATTTCACCCTCTCGATGTGACACTCATTTGCGACCCCAAAACTTTCCATATAGGCAAAGAGAGTGAAATGAGACGTCAGAGAGTGGAATATACAAGGAGGGAAAAAATGTGTAAATTTTCCCAGAGCGGGAAATTTGCTAATAAAATTAATCTTTGAGCTTTCGCCTGAAAGTTTCTGAAGCGCAAATGCGAGCGAGTTGAAGAGAACGAAAAGTGAATTCACATTCAATCAACAATAAGGTTATTACGTGAATTTGCATATGAAAATTAAATTTTCGCAGAATAATATCTAATTTGCTTACAAACACACAAAACTTCATGTACCACATCAATGAAGTGCCTGTTCGACATAGCTTGTGTGGTGTCTGTGGGGTTGAAATTGTCACAATAAAGCTGTGATACAGCATAAATCATAAATCAACTATGGGATACAAGATTAATTTGCATGGATGGATGGGACGTATTATGCTAATTTGTACTTTTACCCATTGAGAGTGTTAATTATTTTCACATGTCATGAGCCTTTAGTGTGCGAAGTTGGAGATAGTGATGGTAAATACCATGTCTCTATTGTGTAATTTTATCTCACAGAGAGACCACAAATCACCGGTGATAATTGCGAGAGTGCTTCATGGTCTCCGTCGTCTAATAGTCACCCTTTAAATACCAAACACTAAATTTCAGTGACGGGGGCTTTTTAAAGGAGACCACGCGAGTGTGCTTTATTTATTCTTTTGATTCGCACCGCGCCCTGCCCTCGGTCCCCACCTCGATGGTACTTGAGAAATCAATAAAATGTCTATTGTCGCAATTTTGCTCTCCTCTTTGGCTCCAAATCAAATCCGTCGTTCTCTGTCTCAACATGAGAGGGACTTTCTTATTTTATCGTTTATTTTATTCAACTTTTCTGCAAGTAACAGCAAACAATGTCTGCCAAAGCTCTCGCTCTGTCGTCGATACAAGAGGCTAAGGGAGGGAGAGAGGGAAATTTCTCGATGTAAAATTATCGGGGAGGAACAGCCAGAGAGAGAAAAAAAGTTAACTTTTCTTAAAGACAACTTTGCAATCGTGTACAGCGAAATAACGTAGAAGTGGCGGAGAGTGAAAACAATGGCAAAATCCGGATTATTTTATAGATTTTCTCTTCCTGTATCCAATCAAATCCACCATACAATCCCCCTTGCGAGAATTTTATGGGACGTTTCTTCTTTAACCACTCTGTATTTTTTCAGTTCCCCCCTTTGGCTCTGCTCTGTTGTCTTACAGCCGCCCAACATAGGTACAGATGGTGAAAGAAATTGTGCCATTTCATGATACAGTAGCATCTCGTGCGAACATTGATTGAGGGTTTGGGTGACTCTTTCTCAAAGTGAAATGAAATAAAAGAAGGAAACGACACGGCAGAGTGTGAGTGAAATAATAAAAAAGTGGGTAAGAGAACAAAAAAAAGAGAGAGAATCGAGGCGACACAATTTTCCGAGCAACTAAGTGTAGTTATATAGATGGCGAAGCTAAATGAATTCCTTTTCATCATATGAACCATAAAATTAATTAAACTCATCGTCTATAAAAATCCTTCTAATCGAAACTCAAACACGTTCACCTGCTGCTGTTCACTGCCATTCAGCCAATCTCAATGGCCTGTGATCGAATCAACGTGGCTCCCTCCTCGTAATTTGCTATTATTTTAAAGATGCCACCACACCATCATTTATTGAGAAAACTCTCGCAATACACCCCAGGACCCGAGGGCTGCGATTCAGGCGGGCGGGCGCAACTGGGGATGAGCGCGCGGTATGGAAGAGTGTCGACAAGTAAGGAAAGTAACATTTTGTCGAGAAAGGAAAGCACACTCACACACAAAAATGTAATAATAGCCCGAACGTATTGAATGGAAAACTTTAACTTTTAATGGAAAATCGATCAGGAGGCAGTGGAGGAGAGAATGAAGTGACAGTAAAGCTCTCGAGTTGCTACATTTTATTTATACGTAGCTATATAAATAAAATATAGGAAATGAGACAGAGACAAATCTTCGACATTATACCTCAATTCTCTGTCCCCAGCCCAGTCCACTGTGAAATAAGAAAGGGCCAGAGTGTAGTTTTCATAGACAAGGAAGGTTACGGGAAATCAAATTTATGGGACACTAAATTTGTGTCACTCGTCGAAGTGTAGGTATTCGGATAAGCAATCAAATACTTTCAAATAAAATCTATAATTCAATTCAAGTAAGGAAAACTTCAGTTATATGAAGCAAAAAGCTGGTGTAACTGATTAACGAACAGAAGAATTCTGGATATTTTCAATAGTTTGTTGCCTCTGATAAAGAATCTTTGTTTAAAAGGAATTCTAAATATACAGCATAGAATTTAAATTTTTCCACGAATTTCCAAACACTTCTAATGAATTCTTGGAAAGCCAAGAAAAGGTTTTCTTTAGTCTCAAGTAATAAGCATGTCAAAATGTATTCAATTTGATATGCATAAAATTGCTTAATTTTCCTCCTTTCTGTATAGAATTATGGACAAATTGTGTCAATAGACGCAAGGCGGCCTCAAGAACAAAGAGTCATATTAAAATTTTTTCCAATTTAACTCTGTAATAAGAAATGAAAGCAATAAAAAAGAGGCAAAAGTCACAACGTCGGAGCGTGAGTTTGTATGAGGAAGAATGGATGATGAAAATTTGGTGGTGAGTGGGAAGAAAAAGAAAGTTTTCACTCGGGAAACCATCAATATCTTCCCTATATATTCAATGTAGGAGAAATTTTATCATCATAGCGATTAAATTAAGTCAGCAAAATTGGTAAAGTTTTTTGTCCTTTACTTCTAACGTCGGTGTATTTTGAAAGGGGACGCCAGAAATGATTCTAATTTAAAATTCAATTTTTTATTGCCACTTTCCACCAGTGGAAACTTCAATTTTATATTAATTCATTATGCAAATAATGTGAGGGGTGAATATTGTGGCGTAGAGAAGAATGAGCGCGTCAAGAGTTGAAGTGGGAAGGCGGACGAGATGGTCATTCTCTCTATATAGAGACTCTGCAGAAATTCTGGGAGAAAGTCCTTGAGTGCTATCTGATGAGTGTGCTGGAGATTGACCTAAATTGTTAGTCAAGTTGAATACTTTGGAACGATTCTCTCTTTTGCTCGTTGGCGAAAACTGAATTGAGAGACGAGGAGCCTTAATGGAGAATTTGTGCACAAATTTTCGTTTTACGCGATATTGAAATACCATTTAAAATTTATGGATGTAAGAACTTGTATTTTTTTCACTTCATCACGCCACACCGTGAGGCAGAGATGCGGCAAAATGGAGTCATTTACTCATTGAACGCAGCCTTCCAATGGCAGTATCTCATCTTGGCGAGAGCGCCACAAAAAAAGGAGAAAAGATTAAATAAATTTTGAATGCTTTGCGAAGGGGCCAGTGTGGAAAATCGTGTGTCAGCATAGAAGGATTTTAATACATAAAAGTCTAAGGGAAAATGTACATCGGGTACATAGAAGCGGCAGCTACAGTCCCTATTATATGGATTTTAATAAAACCTTGTTGACTATAAGCGGATTTAGACGTCCAATTAGGAAAACAGCAATGTACAACAGAAACTCATTCCCCAGTTTTAGGTCAGGCAAGTGAAGCGCTGGGGACCTTTTTCGCACTGGTCTCGCTTCTTTTCTTCCCATTCATCAGAATTATTATGCATTCACTTAACACCCCCAAGTTGAGAGACAGAGAGAGAATTAGTGGTTTGAGCGTGGGTGTCGGAGCAAATTCCATCACTACAGAGACAATTAAAATATTTATGCTTCTTCTTCGCCATGTCTGTGCTTGCACATAGTTTAACGAGAGCGCATTTGAATGGGACAGATTAGAGAGGAAATCACAGATTTTCAGCCAATTTTCACATGAAAAGATTTATCATGGAGGAAATATTTGCGCCATAGCTTTGCAATAAGCTTCACAAGCATTCTCAAAGAACTTGTTAATGACTGTGAGACTCTTTTAAATGAACTTGTTCAGCAATTAATTGCTTGCATGCCTCAAATTCCAATACCTTTGCAGACGCAGCTGCAGCAGACACAGTCGAAATTGTCACCGAACCCAGAGAATGCCGCCAACAGCATCAGCTCATCCTCCCCACCTGTAGGACCGAATGTGCCAAAGTTGGAGCAGAAGCCGGTGGAATGCAATTTGTGTCATCGAAAGTTCAAGAATATTCCAGCCCTGAATGGACATATGCGCCTTCACGGTGGCTACTTCAAGAAGGATGCCGAAACGAAGAAATGTGATAAGAAGGAGACACCAGGACCACCACTGCAGACAGCCAGTGTGGGTGTAAGAGCGCTCATTGAGGAGAAGATTATTAGCAAACGAAGCAAGGATCTCAAGGTAAGCCCCACACACAATTCGATTTCTGCAACAATAGTCTGTGAGCGTCGCCAGGACGACAGGAGTGAGCCTAGTTGCCACCTCTTGGTGGGGATTTTAATCCTTCAACATGATCTCTCTGCGCAAATTGCGTTGATTTCATTCCTGGAATATTTTTTCCTCTGCAGTTGAGAGAAATTTGAAACGACTGTCTTTTCAATTAAATGCCATTCATTGTTTCACAGACAGAACATTTATTTCAATTCTTGTTAATTCAAGTATTTGTCTTTCATTAGATGTTAGATATTAAAATTAGATAGAAGAAATGCATGCAAAGTTACTCATTGCTATAGGGCGAAATGATTTTCTTAAATCAACTTCATTTCATTCTTGTTCTTCTGTTTCTAAACATACAACTTGAAATTCTGAATTCCATACAAATTCATAGATTCTTTAGTATATATAATGATAGAGATTTACTGGAGCTCGTGAATGTCCTGACTACGCTTTCGACTTGTGAGAAGACTGATAGTTGTGTAGCTAACATATTTGTGTCCTCGAAGGGTGCCTTTGTTGTGCCTGCACCACCTTTAGCCGCGCGTCGTCTCTCCGACACGGAGACTTTCCTGTCTCCCAAATTGCCATCTTCCACCACTTCCACTGTTACCTTGCCGACTCTCTGCCAGTCCACCACCACTCTGGCCACCGCCCTCCAGATTGCCACCAGTGTGGCTTCCACCGTAGCCGGTAAGTCCTCAAAGACCGACGCCATCATTAAGTCTTCCCCGGTCGTCGACAGCAAGGACGCCACGCTGATTGAACTGCTGAAGCGGGGCACGAAGGTGGCCGTGAAGAGAACGAGCTCGGATCCTGGCACGGCACCGCCGCTGCTACAGGAGAGCGGCTCCTCGAAAGCAACAAAGAGCAGCCCAGTGACACCCACCACCACCCCACCGCTCGCATTGTCAATTGGAAACAGCGAGAGCGCCCCGCTGGCTCTGACAATTTCCCAGGAGGCTCCGGGGGCGAGTGATGTGTTCACTCTGGCGTACTCCACCGACTCTTCTAGTGGCTTCTTCCACGACAACGAGGTGTACAGTGTGAATGACACGGCGATGCTCCTTCAGGCGGTGGATTCGATTCAGTTGCTACACGAGAGCAGCGCCAATGCTGAGCAAATTGACGAGATCAGCGCCCTGGGCGATTATTCCCTGACGGAGAACACCGCCCTCGCCGGAAACTTTGCCTCGTCGCGCCAATTGCAAGCGGTGCTCAATTCACCACTGCCCGAGAGCTTGGCGGAATTCAGCGCCCTTCATTCCAAGGACTACATCCTGTATGGCAACTCCCCGTCCGCCGTGACCCAGTCGTCTTCGTCGCCACTGCCCTCACCGCTGGCCTATCCCACCCCACCGGCCAGCCACGAGGCCGTGGCCCAGGCGTCTCCCTTCCTCGACGACAGCCATCACTTTGCCGACGTGGGTCCCTTTTTTGGGGACGAGAAGAAATCCACGAGCTTCCTGGAGGACGTGAGCAAGGAGCTGAGCGACAACGAGCGCATCTTGCAGCTGAAGAATGAACTCTTCAGCGACAGCAAGTCCGTGCTGGACGAGAAGACGGGAGACATCTTCAAGGAGGATCCGGATGGCGATCGCTTGCGTGACTTGGCCTTTCTGGATGAGCCAGACAGCTTCCTGGAGGACACCCAAAATCCCTCCTCGCCCCTGTCGGCAGCCTTCTTCAGCGCCACCATGTCCAGCGCTGAGGAGGTGAAGGAGGCGCTCCAGGAGGTGCTGCCCAATGAGAATCTCACAGAAGATACGGCACCGGAGGCAGACGACATTGATCTCTACTATTTGCCAATGTGCAATCTTCAGTCACAGATGATGCCCAATTCTGACGATCCACTCCTCTCGTCGTCTCCCAAAGATTTCATCAGTCGACCGCACAAGTTTGAGTTCGGCTTCTGCCCACCGGCTAAGCGTACAAAAGGCAACTCCGGCGAGGAGAGCATGCAGCCCACCGCAACACCACTAACCGTCCAAACTGAGCAGCCCCTCCCGCCGAAGGACAGCGAGGTCTTCCTCAGCCCCAGCAGCATCTCCTCCACGTCCACGCCATCGCCCAAGATCATACCCATTGCGAGCCTGATGAGCAGGAAGAGACACCACACCGAGCACTATGCTCGCGTGTACGAGCGCTTTCGCTCGCGCTTGAGGAGTGGCAATGACCACTTCACGCCGTCACCCATTCTGAATCCCAGCAGGAACGCCACGGGGATTTACTTCTGCCTGGTGAAGGATGGTCTGCAAGAGGAGGACGACTGTCTCATGTCCGTCAGCGATGACCTGGAATGCTTGCTGGACTCCCCACGGATAAACATCGGGAGCGACTTCCAGGCCCAGGTGCCGGATTTCATGGTGAAGGAGGAGGACGTGAAGGTGGAGGAGGAGGACACTCAGCTCTGGGATCCCGTCGTGGGTTCGGATGAGCGCCAATTGAGGCGCTACATTGAGCTGTCCAAGTCATCCGCTGTGCCGCTGGGCAGTCACTCAGAGGAGATAGCTCTGAAAACCCTCCTCGACACCCATGGACAAGTGCACACGGCCATTCTGGAGCTCCTCCAGTCACCTGCTACGGCGATACATAAGCGTTGGACGCCACAGGAGATCAAACTTTTCCTCAAAGGACTCGAAACTTTCCGCAAGGACTTCTACAGAATAAGCAAAGAGGTGAGAGCTTAGCATGGGATTAGGTGGGTCCTCTCGGCTATATAATGCTTATCTCACAAATTTCAGATTCCACACAAATCAACGGGTGATTGCATCCAATTGTACTACTTCTGGAAGAAGCTCTGTGTGGATTACAAATTAACACACTTACAGCAAAACAACCAGCGGCGAATTTCCCACGAATTGAACAACAACGCTCCACTTGTCTACGGGACTGATTCACATCACACCTCATCCACCCTCTCGCACTCCACCCACACGGATATTCGGCCTCACATCTGCGAGATGCCAGATTGCTCAGCTGTGAGTATACAATTGGAATATCCTCTTTATCACATCTTTCCCTTCTTTTCCTCTCGGTTTCGTTTGAGCCTGGCTTTGTGTTCGCTTCTCTCTCTGTACCTGTTTTTCTTTCGGTTCTCTTTCTACCATCACCACCCCCAACACCACACTGCCAACCCATGCTCGCCAATTTACAATTTGAGTTGTTGATTTTAACCACATCTTCTCGCCCCCGAGCCATATGATTAACAATTGCGCCTGTGAAAGAGACACTCTGCCCTAATCCCTTTGTAGAGCTTCTCGAGCAAAGCCGCTCTCCATGGCCACACAAAGTTACACTGCATGGGCAGGAGCGTGACTGTGTCGAGCAGTGCCAGTTCCTCATCCAGCAGCAGCAGCTCCTCCATCAAAGACGATTTTCCCTGCAAGGTGTGCGGCAAGTAAGATCAACCCAGAATCCTTAACACACACTCTCTCTCTCTCACTGTCTCTTGACTCCAACTAATTAAGAAAATGATCCTGGGTTAACTGCACAAGGAACCGCTTCCAGCATCTGATTAAATTAATGTTCAAAGTAACTAGGAGTCCTAGGCAAAGTAAAGCCTTGTGACACACAATCAAAATCGACCTCAAGATGTTTGCCTTATCCTTACAAACAATGTAAATTGGTGGATAAGTAGCAGTTTCTCGTGCTTATACTATATGACGTTACACTTGCTAGAAGTACTTCTGGTTCACTAATCAAACTTAGATATTGTGCGGGTAATCACTGCAATATCTTGATTGTCTTGCAGGTATATTGAAGTGCTTCTTAATTAATTTTCATGCCCCGTTCAATCGTTTTAGAGTTTTCAACAAGGTGAAGAGTCGGAGTGCTCATATGAAATCGCATCGGCCGCAGGATTCCGATTCGAGCATGGTTTAAGCCTTCACATGTGATCGGCTGGCAGGAAAAGTCAAGCATAGCGACAGAGCAGGCTTATCTTCAGGAGGATGCGGAGGATGTAAATGGAGAAGATGGTGTGTAAATTTATAAATCTATTAAGGAAGAAGAAATTAATGACAATCTATTTTTAAAATGAATACATTCTGCACTTAATTCAATGTAATACGAGACTTAAAATTGCCACAAATGTGCATAAGTTGTAGGATTTAGAAGGGTATTAAACATCGCAGAGGTGAACAAAAAAAAAGACGAAAGCATCTTCTCAGCGGAAGCGCGACATTAGTGAAAGTGAAAAGTTACAAAAGAGGAAATAAAAGTCAATAGATAAAATTATTATTATTATTAAATAGTAGAAGGTGTATTTTTGTTCAACGCCACATCAATAAATGTAATAGAATATAGTCAGAGATTCAAATGGAAAGAATGATGAATTTCTCTCACTCATTTATTCTTCATGAATATTGCAAAGGTAATAGAGAAATCATTGAACACTGCATTTCGAATTCTTTTGCCGGAAAAGGAAAAAAAAGTAACACGAGAGAAAGACAGAAGCATAAATAAAGATATTCAGTGTGACAAGATTTTAAAAAAACGTAGACAGTTTGAAAGAAAATATATTTCTACTTAAACCTTATATAAAGGACATTACATATTAGATACATATGCAGATAATGGGTAAATTAATTACTGTGTAAATAGTAATGCAATTTGAGGTGAATACTCCTTTTAGACTCAAGATTTGACCGCCCCCTGACTTTTTTTTGCCCACAAGAGCATTGAGAATCTTAGCCGCAATGATGAGATACCGAAGGGGTGCGCAATGACGAAACGAGAGCTCAATATTTAGTTTAAAAATTAACTTACCAAAGACAAAGAGATTAGGAAGAGCATGAGATGATCAAGTGTATTGTGTAATAAAGGTAAATATTAAAAGAAAATGATGCCAAATTTTTACATAGAAACGATGAGAGCGCGGTCAATAAAACTTTTCCAGTATTAAAATAGACAATTTCATGAAAATAATGGTTATATCTTAGTGAATAAGTGTTGAATCGATGTCCCTGAATTTTATTATTAAATTTACTGGTAAAGAGAATCCACAATGTGTCTCAGATGGAAGGGAGACACTGTAAAGGATTACTTTCACACCATTCAAGTCAATACTCTCTCTCTAGACATTTATTGATTGTAAGTATGACAAGTATGAATTACGATTATCCTTGACGGTTGTTTTTGTCCTCTGTAATAGTGCAATTTTTAGCTCAATTTTTGCAAAGGCAATAATTTATTGTGAATCTTTTAGTTAGACAAAAAGAAAAAATGAGAAGAGAAGTCACATATTAGATTTTACCCTTAAAGCAATCCAAGAAATATTGGTTGACTCATTTATTTATCATATCTATGGAAAGAATTTAAATAGACATAAAGCGATAGGATTAATTTTATGTTGTTGATGTCATACCAATTGTGCATGATTGTGTATACAATGAGAAGCAAAAGATAAGATGATTGAAAAAAATAATAATATACGGTAAAGGAGAAGAAACATTATTCATGGAAACGGCCTGCGAGTAGCATTTTTGAGTAACAAGAAATATCATAAATATAGTGAAAAAAAAGAATCTCTTAAAAGATGTATAGAAAAAATGTGTGCAAGATTTTGAAGAAAAAAAAAACATTTTGTAAAAGACACTAAATTATAATTTACCACTAGTTCTTACCCTAATTTATAATAGGTAACTCATTTCATAAGTATACTTTAAGGCAAAATAAATACGTGTACATGTACAAAGATTCACTGTACTTTTATGAAGTTGCATATAAGCATTATTGGAAGGAGATAAGGTAAAATGTGAAAATAAGGAGAAGGATGAAAAGCTCACTCATAAAATTGTCCAGAATATAACAATATAATGGTGGTGAAAAATACTACACAAAAAGTATTATAAACGCTCATAAGAAGAAAAGAAGAAAACTATGTGTATGTATGTACTAAGGAGTAAGCTAATAAAGTTGTTGACTATTTTCTATAAAACTCTTTATAAATAGATTTAACGATATATATATAAATGATATACATACATATATATTTATAATGTACTGCCTAATTTGATAATCAAAAACAGATGAAAAAAAACAAGTTTAAGATGAAGTGTAAGAAAGTGGAAATTGTATTTAGTGAGTATTTGTGTCTAACCGCCAATTCTACATGAGTTGCCAAAAACAGACAAGAAGAGAGAGAAATCAAACTCCATTCACAATATATTCTTTAACTTATTTCTCGGAAACAGCCATCGAATCGTGTGTATTTATGTACAAAGAATCTAAATTTCACTCATGATTATGCAAAGTGGGGGAAAAGCGAGCAGCTTTGGATGCCGCATTTCTTATTTAACAGAACAACAACAACAACAACAATAAAAAACACCTCCTGAAAAGCCACAATTGACCGCAATTTGAAGTTCTTGAATTCTAGCGATTTCCTCAGTCTTACTAACTATAAAGTCAGATCTGGAACTGCTCGACTTTCTCCTCGAAATCCGAAAGCCAAAAAAAGAAGAGAAAAAAACCCAAAGAAAGATCTCGGCGCGAAGCTTCTTTTTCTAGTTTCCCCCCTTGAAGAGACTCTTAAAGTTGAGTTGTTTCATCACATGAAAACTTTACCTCCTCGAACCTAAGCAATACTTAATTGGAAGAAATGCGATTCTTTTGTTATCAGAGAAGAACTTTCTACCCCCTATTGATGACGTAATTCCTTATCTGTGGTACCTGCGTGCAATCTCGCGCGGAAAGCGTCATACTCTGTGTTGTGATTTTTCAGAGACATTTGAGAGAGAGAGAAGGAATGAAAAGGAAGAGCGGAAGGAGACATTTTGATGAAAATTGAAGACCTAAGATGAAAACTCAAAAAAGGAATATTCTGAAAATATAAAAATGAGAAAAAGAAAAATCTTGCAGTCCTCCATTAAAAGTATATAGGCACGAAAAATAATTTTGTACTCTCTGTAAATGGGTTTTTGTGCTGATTTTTGTAATATGATAAATTATTCTCTTGGATAATTAAAGAAAAAAAAAACATATAGTGTATAATTGATCGTATTTGGATGTTACCTAGTCTTTCTACCTCCTGACAAAAGCAAAAAAAAAATTGAGAGTGAAGAAAATAAATTCGATAAAACATGAGATTAAGAATTAAGTAAATAAAGTCTTTAAAAACATATCAGTTTTTAGGAAAGTTGAATGAGAAAAAGCCAAAATTGTTGTATTACTGTACCTTCTGACTAGAATTTGTAGAATTATAAAAACATGAAAATTGATGAGATTGAGAGAGAGAGAGAGAGAAAAGGAAGAAAACTCTCACAGCATTCTCACAATGATTTTTACACTCTTCCTCCCATCACAATTATATTTTCCTTGGCTTATCCACAGACTTCCGTAGAGAAATGTATCTTTGGCCACAAGAGATCAATTCTTGTAGCGCAAGAATTTCAGCGAAAAATGTCTAGGCAAAAAAACACACATACACTAATAGATATAGGTAAAGGACAATCCTAATTTTTATGTACATACTCAAGACCCCAGAATAAAATCTCTCTTTGTATGACTATCGATAGAAAATAATAAACAAGAAAGTATGTAAAGAGAATAAATTTAAAGTATTAAGTGTTATATTAATAATGGAAAAAAAATTGTAATGTTTATACAAATATGTTTGTGGATTCTTCAGACAATGTCATATAAAGCCCACATTTTGAGTTTACCGCATAACTCCGCGCTATGGAAGCAAACATAAGAGAAAAAAAATACATTTAAAGAAATCCTAGCATATTATGTGGTAGAGACAAGAGCAAGTGAACAGTAATTGAAGATGAGAATTTTGCAAAATCACATATTTTTGTATTAATCATACGTAAATGGAAAAAAGCATGAAATGCCGTAAATAGAAACTGTTTTCCGCGAGGAAAAGAAGCCAACACTGCAAAGGACACTTCACAAATTCCTCCACAGGATATGCTATTCAAACACTTCATTGATGGCTTAACACACACGTTGTGATTTGAAGTTGAGCTGAATTTTGCTATAAAATCACACAAACAACTCCTGGTTTCCGTATCTCAATAAGTATATAAAGTTTGCTTTCCTGCCAATTTTTTAAGTCACCACAGAACATTACAAATGCAACTACAAAGGATAAAAACTCGATATAAAAGACAAATCTTCTGCCGTCTGCTGTGCCAATTACGAAAAGTTATACTTCAATATACAACGAAAGTATTGTTTAAAATATTTTTCTAATCTTCCCACAGAGATTTTTGTAGTGACACGCGTGGAAAAGTGTCACTCTGAAGCATGTTCATTTTTCTCATTTGAAGTCGCTTGAGTTGCAATGAAGGATATTTTTTCCAACACTTCAAGTGTTGTCACATTGACTCCAAAAGAAAAAAAAAAAAACTTTTTAGTGGTTCTAGAAACACACTCTCAAATTAACAACAAAGAAATTAACTGACGAACGTCGAATAGCATATCAAAAGAAACAATAAGTAAATATTAAAGAAGTTATATCTACGAAAACTTGACACAAGAAGTTACACCCAGTAAAATATAACTAAGAAAAAGAATAATAATGTATGTCTCTATTTATTATAATTATTGAACAAATGGAAAATTAATTAGAGGAGAAATACAAGAGAAAAAATGGATACGGTCAATAATTACTACACAGGCCTAATATTGAAGAGAAATTTGATGATGGAAAGAAAAATGGACATTAATACATAATATTTTCTGATCATAGACGGAACTTGAATGTAAGAGTTGAAGTAAAAATATTTATTGTGTATTAAAAAAAAGATGAGAAAAACTACTAAAGAGTGTACTTAAAACGGCTGTTTCTGATCACAAAAAAAAGTTTAAAACTTTTACAAAGAATACTTCAAAGGAAATCATTTCCTTTCGTCTTTTCAGCTCCTTTCTTTCCAATAATAAAGAAAAATTGAAGAAAAAAATCTAACAAAATTCAGTACACGAGAATTTCGAGAGTTGATTGATTTGTAAAAAAAAACTGCTCAAAAATCAAGAAAAATGCGCATGGAAAGCACATAAAAGTAAACCTTTTTCTACTTTTGAGAAAACAAGAATGGCAATTTTGTATATAAGTATAAACTTCTTTTGTTCTTTTTTGACGAGGAATAAGATCATTTGCAAAAATTATATTTGAAAATCTTTCTCTGTGATTATTATAGAAGAAAAATGAAATAAGAAATATGCAAAAAAATGTCTGATAGTGTGGAGAAAGTTTATAAATATATTATTATATATAATGGACAAGAATTAAATGAAAAAAAATTAAAATGTATATTTTACCTTATTATGTGTATGAAAATATATGTAATGTAAATTCTATTTCAAAAACTGTTCTTTTTTCTCAAAACGCATGAGAGGAAAAATCACTTTGCTTTTTCTGAGTAATTCCTTTATTCTCGAATTGGAAATTTTTGTTTCTCATAAAAAGTTTCTCCAGCAAATCGACTAAGAACGAAGAGTGAAATCTACACCAGCTCATCATTAGTTCATCTTCATCAAAATTTACACAATTCACTTACATATTAATGTGATTACTTTTTAAAAATCAAGCGTGAAGAGAATTTCTTCGATTTAAAATCTCGATGCAAGATACTCTATTAATAGTCACTTCTTAGACGATAAAGGGCTCGCGCCCCTTGACTCCTCCCTTTGTTACTCTCCTCACGCCAAAGTCTCCGCGCTCGCATGTTCCTTTACGACTCCTCGTCGCTCACGGTGGCCTTCTTCTTGGGACTCACGCCCTCCTTATCGTCATGCTCGTGATTTTTCACATCATTTGTCTTCTCCCCCGCCTCGGCCTCGGGCGGCTTCTGCATCTCCATGTCGATTCGCCTCTGGAGTGCCATGTAGAGCGTGTTGATGTCCGACGGCCTCGCCATCACCAGATAGACCTTAATCTGGCCCGAACTATCAATAGCCGTCAGTCGGATGCTCTTTTGACTCGAACGCTCGGCCACCATGTCTCGCCAAATCTGAAAGAAGGGGCAGCCAATGAAGGGCATCGCACGGATATCCAATCCCCTCAACCATCTCACCTTCGTGTTCAGCAGCACTCGATGACTGCCCGCCGCCCTGAACACCACCCGCGAAATACCATTAGTCCTCCCACTCTTGGGATCGTTCAGTCGCAGGCTGCCTCTGCCCCTCTCCTCCCAGGTGCTCGCCGTAAATGTGAAGAGTTTGCAATTAATCTGCAGTGAGAAGGAGGAAAAGGGTCTTTAGATGGGAAACAGAGTGAGTGAGTCCAGGTGCATTACATCTAGTATGTTCTTCTCATCTTCCTCGCCAGTTATAGTTTCCACCTCTTCGTACTTCCTCTTCTGCGCCCTGCTCTCCTCGTACTCTCTGGCCACTTCTGTGAGGCTCTTCTGACTGTTTGCCGAGTTGCTCGCATTGCTGTTCTGAGACTGCTGAGCGGCAGAGAAGAAGAGGCCACCGGAAGGTCCTCCGGAAGCTGCTTCTTCAGCCGAGTCGCTCTTCTCTCCAGTGTCCTTCGCGTCAATTGTATTCTGCAAGTTTACAAGCAATAATCAGAAGCCTATAAGAGCCAATTTGCAGCAAAGTCTACTCACTCCGGTCACGCGCTCGTGAAGATTCTGGCCAAAGACGAAGCCCGTGTTGCTGGCTATAGGATTGCCGGTCGTATTGAACAGATTCGACTTCGGCAAGCCATTTCTGGAGATCAGCGACAGAGGATCGCTCTTCTGGAAGGAACAAGCGAACAGTGAGAACCGGCAATGTCATCACAAAACACTCAATCTCCCTACATTTTCCCTGTCCGCCGCCTCAGCTTTTGATTCAACCTCATCCTTCTTCTCGGCCGAGCCGTTCTCATCGCTGGTCGACTTGGTAAAGGGATTGCTGGTGGACAGGGATGAACATGAGTTGGAATTGAGCACCTCAGTGGAGGTATTCGGTGTGTTTGCCATTGAAGACGAACTCCACGACAGTGCCGAAGGACGAAGCATGCTGCTCTTCAAATTCACCGAGCTCTGCTGTGATGCTGATGAGATGTTGGAAGCGGAACTGTTTGTCAGATTGCTGTTAGAGTTATCATCTGCGTGTGAGAGAAAGAAGTGGAATTTAGCGAGGAAAATGCAAAATGCACACAGCGTTCTGTCAACACAATGCCACTGCCAGATATTGCGCAAAGTCCCGCCAAAATCACTGATTTCCACTCGCGGGACATGCCAGGAACATTGGTCAACACCTCCAGATTCACTCACCATCGACACTGGCCATTTTACAGGCAGAATTTGTGAGATTTTTCCAGGAACGAGGGGACGTGATTTGGAAAGGTTACTGCAAATTGACGGTCACTGAAGAATTGTGGCCAACTTCACACGTAGCATCACTGAGAGTTTGACAGCCGAGATATTTTGACACGGTGTGATTTCCACTAGAGTTTTCCCGTTTTCCTCGCTCTACCATGTCTCTGTCGAGCATTCTTCCACCGCCGATCAATCCCGTGTGGGACCGTGATGAGGAGAACCACCAGAGTTTGGCCAAGGGGGCGCCCTCGATAGGCGCTTTAGTGAGTGCAAAGATCGCAGCTCCGCCCTATGGCCAGCGCCGTGGCTGGGTGCCACGCACAGAAGCGGACTTCGGCGATGGGGGCGCATTCCCGGAGATCGCTGTGGCACAGTATCCACTCGGTGAGTCTCACACAAACACCTTTTACACTGCTCTTCGCTTCCGGACGGAGAATAACTCTCTTCTGCTTTTCTTTCAGGCATGGGGGCCCCCGAGAACGCAAACAAGAAGTCCAACGCTCTCGCTATACAATTGGACGAGACTGGGAAGATCAAGTACGACGCTATAGCACGACAGGGTCATTCCAAGGACAAAATAGTGTACTCGAATCTCAGTCAGCTGCTGCCCGCCGAGGTGCTGGCAGAAGATGCTGAGATTCTGCAGAAGCCCGACGAGGAAACTCTGGCGGACACCACGGAACAGACCCGCAAAGCTCTGGAAAAGCTCACCAATGCTAAGATTGCCGCCGCCATGCCCGTTCGTCACGCTGAGAAGGCAGCTCCTGCTCAGTACATCCGGTACACGCCTTCCCAGCAAGGAGATGCCTTCAATTCTGGCGCCAAGCAGAGAGTCATCCGCATGGTGGAAGCGCAACAAGATCCCATGGAGCCGCCCAAGTTCCGCATCAACAAGAAAATACCTCGAGGACCGCCTTCGCCGCCAGCTCCAGTTCTTCACTCGCCCTCGCGGAAAGTGACGGTGAAGGAGCAAAAGGAGTGGAAGGTGCCGCCTTGTATCTCCAACTGGAAGAACTCTAAAGGATACACCATTCCGCTGGACAAGCGATTGGCAGCCGATGGGCGAGGACTGCAGCAGGTGCATATCAATGAGAAGTTCGCCAAGATGGCTGAGGCGCTCTACATTGCGGACAGGAAGGCGCGAGAGTCTGTGGAGGCCAGAGCACAGCTGGAGAAGAAGTTGGCGCAGAAGGAGAAGGAGAAGAAGGAGGACATGCTGCGTCAGATGGCCCAGAGAGCCCGTGATGAGCGTGCTGGCATTAGAATGCCCGGAGGAGAGGCAGATCCAGCGAATCTGGAGACTCGGGAGCGCGATGAGTTGCGTGCAGAGAGACATCGCGAGCGTGCTCGTGAGAGGAATATCGCCAGGGCGGCTCCGGACAAGCGATCGAAGTTGCAGCGGGAGCGCGAGAGGGACATTTCGGAGCAAATTGCCCTCGGGATGCCGGCCAAGACGCACACAGGAGGCGAGACGCAGTTCGATCAGCGTCTCTTCAACACTTCCAAGGGCATGGACTCGGGCTACGGTGACGACGAGGCGTACACGGTGTACGATAAGCCGTGGCGAGAGTCTGGCGGCTTGGGATCTCATCTCTACCGTCCAAGCAAATCCATCGATCAAGACGCTTACGGAGCTGATCTGGAGCGCATCGTTAACACCAGTCGCTTTGTGCCAGACAAGGAGTTCAGTGGCACTGATCGGTCGGCGCAGAACGCCAGGCAAGGACCTGTGCAGTTCGAGAAGGAGGAGGATCCTTTTGGCCTGGATCAGTTCTTGACCATGGCCAAGAAGGCGCCAAAACGAGGACAGTCCTCGTCCGCAGAGCACAGCAAGGATAAGGATCGGGACAAGAAGCGTCGCAGAGATTAAAGGAAATCGTTCAATGGCCAGGAATGTTGGAACATTATTATTTCAATCAGAATCCATGCCTAGCTATCTCACGAGCTGGGCTTCCTGGGACAAACTACAATGAGATTAGGAGGCATGCGTATAATTTGGATAAAAGAATTAATTTGTCGCAGAACTAGTTTATTTTTCCAATCAATTCAAAAATATACACTTTTAAAATAAAGACAAATTTAACGAATTGAGAGTGTTCCGAAATTTTTGGCCAGGCAATTTCCAATTCAGGCATTTTAAGTAATCGTGTATTGAAGTAGCATCATTGTCAGGAAATTGTACCATTGCTAAAGGTTTAATAAAATGCATTACTACGTGATGTTCACTTGTCCAGGCGACACAGCGAATTCTCCTGCACCATCTTGAGATCCACCTTTGGTCCAACGAGATCGCGAATGTTGTTGATTCCGTATTTGACCATCGTCGGCCGTTCCAGCGACAGACCCCAGGCAATCACGTTCACTTCTGGCGGAATATTCATGGGCAGCAGCATCTCCGGCCGGAAGACGCCCGAGTTCCCAATCTCGATCCACTTGTTGAGACCCGGATGGAAGCAGAAGATCTCCATGCTGGGCTCCGTGTAGGGATTGTAGGCCGGCTTGAAGTCCAGTTGCGTGATGCCGAGCTTGCTGAAGAAGGCATACAGAGTGCCAATGAGATCACCCAGAGTCAATCCCACGTCGGCAATCACGCCCTCCACTTGATGGAACTCCGCCAGATGAGTGGCGTCCAGGGTTTCGTTGCGGAACACCCGGTCGATGCTGAAGTACTTCGCCGGGCGGAAGCCTCCTGGCTGATTGGCCAGCTTGTATAGCATCCGAGCACTGACGGCAGTAGTGTGAGTCCTCAAGATGTTCTTCTGTGCCTCCTCCAACTTCCAATCATAGCCATATCCCTGGGATCCGTACTCTCCCACTGAGTGCACCTTCTTCACCCGCTCCAGGTACTCCATGGGGAACTTGGAGCTCTTCGCTGGGTGTGTGAGGAAGAAGGTGTCGTGCGCATCACGCGCCGGATGCTGTTGTGGCTGGAAGAGAGCATCGAAGTTCCAGAAAGACGACTCCACATAGTTGTTCGTGGGCATTTCTGAGAATCCCATCTCGAGGAAAATCTGCCGGAACTCGCTGCGCACTTTCAGCAACGGATGAAGATGTCCTCTCTCGACAGGCGCTCCCAGGGCGTCAAAGTTGTATGCCTTGAACTTCAGATTCTGCCACAATCCACTGGCCAGCATCTCCACCGTGAGATCCGTCTCCAATTTCGTGAGACTCGTCGTGAATTCGGGTCCGCGAGAGAGAACAAAGCTCTTCGTGACATTCTCTTGCAGCAATTTCCTCTTCTTGTAGTCCAGCTTCACGTTGTCCGCAATTTCCTGGCCGCCGCCGCGGCTGATCTCCAGCAAGTGCTGCTGCACAACATCCTCAATAGTCTCCACTTTGCGCTTCACAAGAGGCGCCTTCCCGCTCTTGTCCACAGCAATCCAGCCATGGGACATGGCCTTGCTGAACCCAATCTTGGCATTTGGCGAACTCTGAAAAAGCAACAATAGATGATGAAACTATCTCACAACTTATCGTAAGACTTTATCCAATATCCACCTTCATCAGATCAGCCTGGGAGATGCCATCCTCAGGCACGGCATGGAAAACAACAGCTTCGTGACTCCCATTCTCCACAACGGACCTGCCCTCGTCCGTCAGTGCCCACGTTTTGCGCGATGCTGGCGTTGAAGACACAACATTGCCACTCGCCTCAATACTTTTCAGAGCACCTACTATCTTCTGATGATCCTCATTAAACACCGGCACCAGATCCAGCGTATCCACCTCATCTTGGTGCTCCAGATACTTCAGCAACTGCTCAGTCAGTTCCTGCATTCTCTCACCACTAAACTAATGACAATAAATTATTATTTTAAATCACATACAGCCCCGAAGCTACGTGTCGCCGCGGCGGAAGATGTCAAAAGAACGTCATAGAAAAAAGTCCCGAGTAAGGCGAAAAAGTATGGCATGCAATGTGATTCATAAGAACACAACGGCAATTGAGGAATATTTTTTGAATCTATTTATCTTTGTATTTGAGAAAATCGCGCAGTACAGCTTTTGTTATCCATAATTGCTCCTTCAGTTTAGCTTTTAAAATTGTCCCATTCCAAGGACACACAAATAATTTGTTATACACTTTAGAGCTCATAATTCTCTAAATCATACAGAATAAGTATCTATTTAATGAAATGTTGCAAAACACAATCTTACTTGACTAGCGAAAGTCCCAAGTCTTCCCTCCATTCAATCACTAGAGCTGTAATTTGCCGATCGTCGCCAACGACGAGTGTAGCAATGGTAGTTTGACGTATCAAAAGTGTGGTGATTCATGTAGAAGAGGTATAGAAATTTTCTGCCCTGTGCAAAGTACCTTTTCTCTCAGTTTTTCTCCTGATTTCGTGTTTTATATGTGCACCGAAGGCAGGATGACTTCGTCACACTGGGAGGATTTCTATGCAAATCACCTGCCACCCACCGACTTTGAGGACAATCGCTCCCTTCTGAAGGAGTTCTGTGAGCGGCACAACAAGCTCAAGAGCCACATCGTTTTAGTCACGGTGAGGTTCCCATGTTAATTTTATCTATGAAAGTAGGTTAGGTGTGAATGAATTATCGATTTTATGAATGAAATTACAGTCGGGAGGCACTACGGTGCCGCTGGAGCACAACACAGTGCGCTTTGTGGACAATTTCAGCGCTGGCACGAGAGGATCGGCATCGGCTGAGTACTTTCTTGATCACGGATATGCCGTGATCTTTATGCACAGGGTCAAATCCCTGGAGCCCTTCACGCGACACTTTAGCGGACAGCAGTTCCTGGACATGCTAGACCTCCACGAAAACGGGCCAAGTACAACAATTGCAGGTGATTTTCATGCTTTTGAATTTCGTCATTTTTATGTAACAATCTAATCACATTACTGACTTCCAGTTAAGCCCCACTCTGTGGACGTGCTGGCGCCAATATTGGCCAAGTACAAGTCAGCCCAGGAGAGTCGACGCATCCTGTACGTGAGCTTTACCACCGTGGTGGACTACATGTGGCTCCTGCGAGCGGCATGTGAGAACTTAGCTGCCTTCGAGCAACGCGCCCTGTTCTACCTGGCCGCTGCCGTTTCGGACTTCTACGTACCTTCGGACATGATGCCAACCCACAAGATGACTTCCGGCGAGGCGCCCACCATCTCGCTGCAGCTCGTGCCAAAGATGCTGGCGCCCCTCGTCGCACTGTGGGTGCCGCACGCCTTCGTCATATCATTCAAGCTGGAGACGGACGAGAGTCTCCTCATAGCCAAATCCCGCGAGAGTCTCACCAAGTACAAGCACAAGCTCGTGATCGCCAACATACTCCAGACGCGAAAGCATCGAGTGGTCTTCGTCACGCCGGACACATCATATGAAGTGCATCTGACACGCGAACAGGCACTCTCGGGCCTCGAAATTGAGGAGCCCATCGTGGCGGATATCGTGTGCAAGCATGAGGAGTTCATCGGCCAGCAGACTTCCACTCAATGACCAACACGTCAACGAAAACATATCTCACATGATTGCTCCGTGACGATGCCGCATTTTTGTCACATTGTTAATTCCGGAGTCCCCCGGAGGCATTAGAGACTTAGACCTGGATGGGTAACTGTTCGTAGAACCAATAAGTTTTCGTGGTGCTAGATTTTTTACAAGAAAAAAATCTTTCTTTTACCCGCTTTACAAATCCATGAAGATATGAGCTGATTTTTTATCATATTATATGCGTATTTATTTTGAACGAGAAGAGGTTGATTTGATTTTTATAAATCCTTTTAGATAAACATTTTATACACACCAATGAACAATGTAAAATCTTTCATTTACTAGAGCCACCTTTTGTATGACGATGATATAGAGTTTTTAACATGCAGTAGAAGTGAAACGATATAATGTTTCTTCTACCCAACAATCCAAGACTTTCGAGAGAGGGTGAAAAAATTCCAAGATTCATCTATCAAAATATATAGATTTATGTAGAATATTTGTAACGCGTTGAGATGGTCTGTTTTCATTTTTTGTCGGAACTAATAGCGTGCCTGTAACACCTCGTGAAAACAAGAACAAATATACCGAAGAAAGAGGAAATATATATGATTCCCACAAACATATTATAATTAACTTAATGCACCAAGAACAGACTGTATATTGAGATGTAAAACCGTTTATTGTAATGAATAGTATTTCTTCAATCTACAACAATATATTGTCTGACTTTCTTGGCAAAGAGGACACGTAGATTGGGCAAACGATTGTAGTTCATTACTCACAAATAATAAATAGAACTGGTATGAATTCTTGTATAATATTGAAAGTAAGAAATCATGCCACACATATGCATTCATTCTGTACTTTGCAGTTTATGAACAGAAAAAAAATCTCAGATGTACGAGATATTGAGTCTTATAACAGCAATCTTATAACCAATGAAAATCCGCAAATGTAGAAAAGAAAATTGTGTAGAGCAGACAAACTGAGAGTGAAATGCTCAGAAATTTTGAATTTATTATTGTAAAGATGTGTTTACATGTTCGTATGGCTTTTAAAATGTCAAAAGAATAAAATCATGTGATAGATGGATTAATGTTGGGCATTGCAGACATGTTGGTTGGACCAAATTGTTAAAGTGTAGCATTACTACCATGGTAATCTATAGAGTGTAAGTTGCAAAACTATATTGAAAGCTTTTTGGGAAAGGGATTCGTAGTAAAAATTAACAGGGTTAGAGAGAAACGATTATGGCTTTCTGTATAACATGAATGGGAAAGTATGTTTATTGGCCAGTGTTATTTTAGAAGAGAGTAAGTTTAAAATTTAATAATAAACTGAAGTATAAAACCATCGTTGCACGTTTTAATAGCTTTTAAAAGCCCACAAAGATAGAGTTGTTTCACGTCTTCGTCTCTCTCTCTCTCTCTTTCTTTCTTTCTTCCCTTTCTCACTCGCTCGCGCACGAATCAAAAGTAAATAGACAACTTGTGTGCGATACAAAAGATTCCTACAAGAAAGCATACTCAAGTGGAAGCCAGTTGCAGACGGGATTTCGTGTGAAGTGGTCGCGTTACACCTCAATTTCGTCTACACTTGGAGGACTTTATATTTGTGAAGAGTGTTGTTTGTGTTACTTTTTTTATCTCGCCAACATTACATACGAAACTAATAATAGAATACAATTTTTCCTGTGTACGCACACTGCATATGGTCGAGGGTGATCATAAGCGTGAAAATTTTCAATCATAAATTATTCAATAATTCACCAAAAAATTGTATCACTTGCCACTCGTTTGCGCTGAAAGTATATTTAGAATTCTTTTCCACTGTCTTCTCTCACCAATTACTGAACCATTTCTCAGTCAAAGTGAGTGCCAGAGGAGGAAAAATTTACTATAACATAAACTCAAAGGAGTGTTTGCAACAATTGTTGTTCCTCTCGCGGCTCATTACTTAAAAACAGGGGTTATTTACCCCATTCTTCCGTGTTGAGAATATTAAGCGATGTAATATTGTACTTGGTAATGGTTAACATTTTTCATACACGTACAATTTTCTTGAGAGAGCCATAATGTTGAGAGACAGAGGAATAATGTCTAAGAGAGGTGGTGAAGAAAAGATCCGCATATATACATATAATTGAAGACGTAGTGATGTATATATATCATGCATATGGTAAATAAATAAAACAAGAAAAGACGAGAAAATTAAATTGTGCCATCATGAGTGTATATGTGGTCTGTCTTTCTCGCTCTCTTCACAACTCTCCTCAAAGAGACATCTTCCTCCTCTCTATACTGCCCAATGAGGCGCACACCACGCGAAGACCATCCCAAGAAGCCCGCTCGCAACACTTCAGTATGAATGCCCAAGAGGAGCCCACAAGAGAGCGAGAGAAGAAGACTTTTATGCCTCGGGGGCAACATTATACAACCACACACCATAATATGTACAAGAGCATATATTGGCCACGAGAGTAACCAAGTGTATTCCTCACATCCAAAGAACTACATTATTCAAGCAAGAATTCAACATTCAACACAATTTGCTTCAGTCTATATTTGCCTTCTGTGTTCGACTTACTTCCTCCAAGTCGCGCTGCGTCTTCCAATATTATTGAGTAAAACGAGACAGCCAGACTTGCTCGAATTAATTATTTCTTCTCGCGCGTCGCCTCACTTTATAATAAAGGTGAAGTGTCAATTGATCGTGATTAACAGAGGAATTTCCGGTCAAGTTCTCTCCTCGCAATTTCAGAGATATATCTACCGATAAGATAAGCAAATCTGCTCACTGTGCGCGACCCGATTATCATAGATTCCACTTCCCACCTCTCGTTCTCCCTCTCTCTCGCTATCTTCTTCTTTGCCTATGATAAAACAAGACCAGTTGATAAGACTAGGCAACAAATAATTGAATTTCATTGAGTGGGTAATGGTAAAATCGTGTAATAAGTGATATTTTTTGTTGTGTCTACACACAGTTTATGAATGAAAATATAATCACGTATAGCTGCACATTTTCCTTCACTGCGCATTAAGCACGTTAAATCAAAGTCTCGGGAACTGTATAGAATGGATTTGACTTTTACAGAAACCTCCTAAAAGCCAAAGTGTACCAATATTTTTGTGAAAGTCACACAATACAGCACAAAACTTGTTTATATCTCCACAGAGTTGGAATACATGCATCAAAGTTAGACAGTGTGTGAGCCAAACTCCGTCTTTTGGAAACTCCAAATCCCAACAGTTTTGAGAGTCATGTTTTCGGAGAATCACACACAGTATTGAAGATTGTGTCAAAGAGACTCAAGAGTTGACTCTTGTAACTGTGTTTGTGAAATGTGAAGACATTGCTTGAGAGAAAAAATAGTGTCACCGTGATTTTACCGTGTCTCTTGTACACTTCCTGTTGTGGCAGTGAATTCAGGGAACTGGGTGAAAGGACTTCTCCCCTCGCACGTGAAAGGGTGCAATGGTGCTGATCAACATCACGGAGCGGATCTTTAAATAGACTTGAATTGTGTGCGAGTGTGTGAAGTAAAAATATGGGCTTTTCGTCGGCGTTGCAAGGAAGGGTGGCCCATGAGGCACTCCTCTTGCGTTTGGATGCTGAACTCCGTCTTCTGGATGCCATGAAGAGGTGCATCAACCAGAAGGCAAAGTGTGACAAGGATTACGCCATTGCCCTGGGACAAGTGGCCCAGCAAGGCCTCAAGGTGGACAGAGCTGATGATCTGCACGGTGAGTAAAATTATCATATTAATAGTCGAACTTTCTATTGACACATTTAAATGCCATCTCACTGCTCTTATCGATCTCGCGCATTTTCTTGGCTCTCCCAGCCAACGTGTGAATTCCTCGTTTGCAAGAAAGCATCAAGAATTCGAAATGAGCTGTATAAAATGACATTGAATTCACCACTAATTAAAATTATACACATTTTATCATAACATCGAGAAACTCACACCCAAATTGGATTGCATATCCAGAGATATTGCTAAATGTTTCTTACAAGATCGAAAGTGAAAATCATGATGTGTGTGGTCATTCATAATTCACTTGCATGTAGTTCCAAAAAAAAAAAATTTGCTCACTCAACACCCAAACCGAGAGGCATTCGCCGAGAGTCTCAATTTGTACTCAATTTTTCTTCCATTTGCAGGGAGTCTCATAACTAAAGCCTGGCGGACGCTCATGGAGGAATTGGAGCAGACAGCCAAACAAATAAAGTGCAATGCTGAATTCCTGGAACTTCTGTGTCAGGACAAGTTGACCCAATTGTACCAAGACAAGAGGAAGGCACGAAAGACATATCAGGAGGAGCATAGTCGAATTGCCACTAAGTTTAATCACGTGAGTCTCAAAGACAACTGTGGGAGTCCAATTAATACAATTAGTGGGATTATAAATACACACATTTTACGAGTGTAGCCGCACAGTTTCATAGAGTGTAAAATTAAAAATATGCCACGCAGAGTTACAATGTCGGAATTGGCAAAATTCCACAACTGTTCAATTTATTGTTCATGTACATTCATGCCCAGCGAAATAGGCCCACCTAATTTTAAGTTTAAAAATTTAAATATCCGCTCGAACATATGTTTTTAGAAATCTCTACACTTATCGTTATTTTCATCTTTTCCTAAGGACAAAAACCAACCAAAACCACATATTATTTAAAGATCTGATAGTAAATAAATGTTCATCTCTGATAAACTTGACTGTGAACAGCTATATAATAATAATCAGGCTTATTGCACTGCACATCAGTGTATTTATTATGTATACATATATATTTTTCTGCAGCGATCTCGAGAGTGATTAAAGATTTATATATAATGTATTCTATATTCATCATGAGATCATAAATTTCTGACATATCGAAGAGGAATGCTAAAAAAGCGAGGCATAAAGATGAAAGAAAGCATGAATAATATTCATCAACAATGCAAATTTCATACTCTATTCACATTCTTTTTTGCCAAAGAAATATAAGGCGTGAGAAATTGCTTTTCTCACTTATACACCATTATATTGTGTTATTTTAATGTCAAGTGATGTTAATCAACCAGTCTCTTTTCATGCAAAGTAAATAGGTTCCACACAGGCAATAAGAAATAATCCATTGATGAAGTTTCCCCCCAATAATTGAACTCTATACTCAATGTCTTCACACTCACATTCACAGTTTAATTCTTTTTTATCTCGTTGGCTAAATTACACTCCTATCTGCTTCAATTCACTAGGCTTCTTATGCATAATTATTTTATAGTGTAAAAATGATTAACCGTACTCTCCTATGGATTTACAGCTCACGGAAGAGGTATCAAAGAAGAAGACAGAATACCAAAAACACTTGGAATATTACAAGGGTCTTCGGTCGAGATTTGAGGAGAATTACTTCAAATGTGAGTTTAATTGCATAAATAAATTATATATTGTGCTTTTTCTTTCTATTAAATTGCCAATTAACATGGTTTTCTTTCTTAATTAGCTGGAAGATCTGGGCGAAAATTGGACGATGTCAGAGACAAGTACCAGAAGGCATGTAGGAAATTGCATTTAGCACACAACGAATACGTTCTACTCATTACCGAAGCTGTAGAAGTGGAGCAGGACTTCAGGACAGTGCTCCTGCCTGGACTCCTTGAGCATCAGCAATCCCTTCAAGAGGGCTTCATTCAGACATGGTAAACACTACCTTCACACTTGGCCTTTCAATGTATGCAAAATGTGTAAATGTGATTTCCTTTCCCACAGGAGAAACATCCTTCAAGAGGCATGTCAACATGGTGATTTCACATCAGACAAATTTAGAGATATCCAGAAGCGTGTTGAACTCAGTATTGCCCATGTTAATCCAGCCGAAGAGTACAGGGAGTTTACAGAGAAGCACAAGTAAAGCAAAATCAACGTTGATTACGTACAATATTATACTATATTTTCTCTACCACATCTTATTATAGAACATCTCCGGCCAATCCGATCGTCTTTCAATTCGATGAGAAGTTAATTGAGGACACACCAGGTAAACTGCAGCCAAACACACTCACTGTGGACAATTTAACGGTGGAATGGCTACGATCGCGTTTAAGTGATCTTGAAAATACCGTCAAAGAAACTCAGGAGAAACAAATCAAATTGGCAGCTGAATCTGGCACACAAACACCAACTATGCAGTCAAATAATGGTATCAATGGAATTGGCAAAGATGCCAACAAGTGAGTAATTTGCTAATAATAATACAAAAAAACATAACTGCAATTCATATTCCGCCTTCAGATATTCCAAAGATATCAACGCGCTGAAGTGTCAAGAGAAGCAAACATTGAAACTGGTGGATATGATAAAAACTGCACTGAATGATTTGGGCTGCGAAGAACTACCGTCCGGATGTGATGACATCTCAGTGGAGCAGAATTTCATTGAGAGCGCCAATGTTGATCAACCTGTAAGTCACTATTCATGTTTTTGCTCTCTTAAGCACGTCTCAATTGCTAAACTTGGGTATCAGTGGAGGCGAGTAGAAGATATTTGTTGCTTACTGGTGATGGTAAATAATTCTCTGGGTTGTTGGCACATTGCTTATCTAGGAGTCACCGGGTTCATCATCGTTCCTCCTGCAGAAGGGCGCTGAGGTGATGAGCCTCATAAGTGCCCAATTCAGACGGAAATCTCAACCCCTGCCGCACACACCAGAGAGAACGCCACGCTCCACGAGAGCTTCTCTGACCACGCGATCATTAAGTAGTTTAGCGTCTTCCTCGGTAAATAGCCTACCCATGAGAGACCCATTGAGTGGTGATTTTATTGATGTAACTGACAATATCTATGTCGAGGTTGATACTAACAACCATGCAACATTTGCCAAAAACACAACTACACACTTCACTGTACACTATGCAGCGGAGATGAGTGAGCAAATCCCATGCGAGACTCACGCAGAGATAGTCAACATTGAAATTGACGATTTGGAGGCATTTCCCGATGAGAAACCACCAATCAAGCATCCAAAAGACTCAAAGAAGCCCGATTCAAATGCGGTGGAAAGCACGTCACAGAGCAATGCAGTGACTTGTGAGAATTGCAAAGGCGCTCACAGTGCCATTGGAAAGGCGGACAATGGAAAGGGGAATAAGTCGAGGTTTTTCCTCAAAGCCGACAAATCTGACGAGAAGGAGGGGGAGTCAGATGCCTCTCAGCGATGGCTCTTAGGCGATGTCTTCCACTTTGACGACCTCATGCGAGACTTCGATATAAACACCAAATTCCGCAATATCCGTCTGAAGGGATCGAAGCAGAAACAGAAAATCGATACACAACATTCCAATGATGACGCTCCAGACAACACCCTCGATCACGATGAGCAGAGTGATCTGAAGAGAAGCAAACTATCATCACTCTTCGCCTCATTTCGGCACAATTCCAAGGCATCAAGTGAAAATACAAGTGTTCAGCAGAATGATTTACCAACTCTCGACGAGTGCTCGAGTTCACTTGCGACCAGCAATGACACATCTCTAATTATAAATGATCCACAATCTGGCATCAGAGATAAATTGGCCAGAACGGAGGATTACATGGAGCCACTCGAGCTGAAACAGCACGCCCAGAAGCAGAAGAAGGGCAAGGCAAAGTTCCAATTCAAGTCCAAGTTCAAATTCAGCTTCCCGAGAGGCAAGAAGCCATCAGTCACTTGTCAGAACTGTCTCAAGCCAATTGGGCACGGGAAGGAAATCTCGCAGATGAGTAAGCTTGCAGAACATGCGAATTTATGCAATTGTGACGCATCATTGATCGACAATACCCAAAACATTCACAATCACTTTTACACAGAAATTGATTGCGTGAGTATTTGATGCTTTGGGCATTTTGCATGTTTATTCAATTTTATATCTACATCATATGTACAATATTATTATTATTTACGTGAGAGAAGAAAAACTATAAAACTAGACTAAATGCTTTCATTTCGAATACACAGCAATTATCGGATTTACACTATCATTGCGATTTTGAGAAAGAAAATGTATGCGCCTCTAATGTGCGAATTGAGAGCTTCAGTGGAGGAGAACACGAGATTTTTGTCTCTGATCTCACACAGAGACTGGTTGACCAATCTGATGTGCGCGACCGGATAGTGGCTAAAAATAAAATTCCGTGCTGAAGAAATCAGCTGAAACTCTCAATTCGTGAATGTAATCACAAGAATAGCGTATGGTGAAAGGATTAAGCCATCAATTTGGAGCATAGAAAAAAGAGTTCATTCAGTGTTCTTCACGCAGTGTCTCACCTCAGGCCGATCTCACGTAGAGCACAGGCTCTTTTGCCCACTAATCTTGACCAATTATCTGTTAAAAAGACACACATCTAACACAATTGGTGATTGTAATTTGCTCAGTGTTGTTAAAAATAGTTTGGCTTTTGTGTAATCATTCTTGCGTGGCAGGATTTTATCCAGAAAATGAGTGAATCTGAAATGAGTGGCTCTTCAACGGATGTTCGATTCCGTCCAAAGCCACCAGTGAGGAAGAAGCGTATAAAGTCACTCTTGGTAGACAATCCGTGTGCAAAGGAAATCCACTTGCCCAACTAAAATCCTCTCTTTCCCACCTCCAGATGACTTTGGCTACGAATCGACCTCTCTACGAGGAAGAGTGGTTCCATGGAGTCTTGCCGCGCGAGGAGGTCGTGAGACTGCTGAAGAATGAGGGCGACTTCCTCGTCCGGGAGACCATTAGGAATGAAGAGAGCCAGATTGTACTGAGTGTCTGCTGGAACGGACACAAGCACTTCATCGTGCAGACAACAGCCGAGGGATACTTCCGCTTTGAAGGGCGCTCCTTCCCCAGCATTCAGGAGCTCATCATGTATCAGTTCAACTCGGAGGCCACAGTGACTCAGCGATCTGGTGCCATTCTGCGGAAGCCCGTCATGCGAGAACGCTGGGAGCTGAGCAACGACGATGTCGTGCTGCTGGACAAGATTGGCCGCGGCAACTTCGGGGACGTGTACAAAGCAAAGCTGAAGCCCTCGAAGAAGGACGTGGCCGTGAAGACTTGCCGGATGACTTTGCCAGAGGAGCAGAAGCGGAAATTCTTGCAGGAAGGACGCATCCTCAAGCAGTATGATCACCCAAATATTGTGAAATTGATTGGGATTTGCGTGCAGAAGCAGCCTATTATGATCGTGATGGAACTCGTGCCCGGCGGATCTCTGCTCAACTTCCTGCGCAAGCACAAAACCACTCACACGGCCAAGCAACTCATCTCCATGTGTCGCGACGCTGCGGCGGGAATGAGATACTTGGAGTCGAAGAATTGCATTCACAGAGATTTGGCGGCCAGAAATTGCCTCATTGGTTACGAGAATATCGTGAAAATCTCGGACTTTGGAATGTCTCGCGAGGAGGAGGAATACATAGGTGAGTATCGAGGCCAGGAAGTTTCTCAGTAAAATCCTTATCAATTATCTTCGCTCTTTGACAGTGTCTGACGGCATGAAGCAGATTCCCATCAAGTGGACAGCACCAGAAGCCCTCAACTTTGGCAAGTACACTTCCCTCTGTGATGTCTGGTCCTACGGGATTCTCATGTGGGAGATCTTCTCCAAGGGAGACACCCCATATTCCGGCATGAGTAACGCCAGAGCGAGGGAACGGATTGACGCAGGTAAGCAACATTTCTTTCTTTCTGGCCAAACCTGAACTGAAAATCATTATTTGCTCCTCAGGATACCGAATGCCAGCCCCGGAACAGACTCCGCCCGAAATGTACAGACTGATGCTGAGATGCTGGTCATATGAACCCGAAACCCGACCGCATTTCGATGAGATCTTCTCGCTGGTGGAGAACGGCTGCTGATGGACAATCTTCCTTATTAGAGAAGCCAATACTTTTCTATGAAAATGGCGACAATCTGATATCCAGAAGCGGACACTCTTTTCTAGATTAAGAAAGCGAAAGCAATCTATATTTACGGAATATACGTATCTCTAATTACTCTCCTACGAGTGCGAAAACCTATTGGATTTCACGAATAAGTTGTAAATTCAATAAGAATTTTATGATCGTAATGTAGTCTCATGTCAAGAACTGATCTATAATTTATCACTCATGCAGTATTTATGTAAATTTGTACGTTTCACACGCAGACTTTTATGATGAATAAATCAATCTTATCTTACGCACCTGTTGCTTAGTATTTCCACGCACGATATGTCACGGAACAAGAATTATTTGATATTTTCCACCGCATTTCACAAAAGCCAAAACAAAAACATGTCCGGTGAAACTGATCACATGTCTATAGATGTCGCTCTGATCACCACAGAGTGGCAGACGTTGAATGGTTTTATCCTTGGTTTTATCCAGGAGGAATGAAAATGTTTTCCCAGAATCATATAATTTATTGAAATTGCATAGAAATACGTGGAATTGAAGGCAAATATGCTAGTAAACGTGAACCATGCCGTAGAGGAATGTCCAGAAAAGGACATAAGTGCACAATCCTCCCATGAATCCGTTGGTCAGCAGACTTCTTCGACTGATGAAATACTTCTGCCAATTTGTCCCGGACTTGGACAACAGCAGGAACCAGAGGCCAAAGACAGCGAACAGGTAGAAGAGAAATCCTATGATTCCCGTGAGGCCCAAGATGCCTGCAGAGGAAAACAAATGAGGTGTCACCCACGTCAGTGAAAACCACCTTCGTGACCAAGATCTAACTAACCTGCAGTGCTTCCCGATAAAGCTGCCATGGAGGTGCGACAATACTCCACGGCCGAGGCATTATTCCTAATTGCAGACTCACTGTAAGCGATTATTTCGCCACTTTTGGTTTCTCTCGCCTTAACCCTATTCGTCGCCATCGTGAAAACTCACTCCCTGAAGAGGTCGCTTCATATCGGCAAAAAGATTGTTTTGCTATTTGAACACCAACGGATATATTTCAGAATTGCATGCCCCAAAATTTACTCTCTCTGCATCAATTTACTCTCTCTGCATCAAAGTGCGACTGCCCACGCTACCAGATCTCTTTTTGTTCCTGTTGTCCTTCCGCCCCAGCACTGGACTACCGCCAGTGCCGATGTTCATGTTGCGAATGAGAGATTTGAATCCTTTGGCTTGTATGTCAGCACTCTGGCCGAGACTCAGCGTCTCCTGGGCGATAATGTAGAAGTCATCAATAATGTGGGCAGGAGGCGGGATGTCGAAGGGCACGACGTCATTGAGGGCGCTCTGTGGAATGCCTACTCTAGCTTGAGACGAGCCCGAGGCTCTCTGCCTGTTAGAATCGTAGGTTTTTTGGTCGGTGAAAGCTGAGATTCGCGACTGATGAGATGTGGATGCGCTGGATGAGCCAGAAGCTTGAGGTTGATTGAGTGCTTGCAAGCGACTCTTCAGCGATGCATTCTCATCCTGAAGTTTCTTAATCATGGAGGCTTCAGTTTCCGCTCGAATGAGTGTTGGTTGCGGCATGCACTGGAATATTGTGGCCAGGAAGTTGTGGAGAGAGATCATGAGTGTGTCCTGCCATTGTTTAGTAAAGCAGACACCGAATACTGGGTGCTCCTCTGGGTTCTTACAGAAGGGAAACACTATAAAAAAGTAAATGATGAATTTATAAGTATTTAGAGAGGAGGAAGTATTTATGTGAGCACTTACAGAACCACTCCTTCCATTCTGGTTGATTCTGCAGCTCGTGGGCAAGTTTCCCGAAGAATTCAGTTATTTTGTCCATCTTGTTGGCGCTGAACGCTGTCACAAGGTAGAGCTTCAGCATGCCAGACTCCAATTTCTTCACAGCCACCGTGTAGGAATGCTCGAGTTTCGTGAAAAGATGACCATCCAGATGCGCCCACATATCCCTGAGCGCCCCCAGATCCTGCGTATTGATGCTGTGAGTGATTTTATCGATGATTTTGTCAACACGGAAACTTCTATCCTTGTCGAGCTTCAATTCAGCATCGAAGGCTTTCAGGGATGTGGAGAATCCCCGGAAAAGCATATATTCCCTTATGAGGCCATCGACGTACTGAACGTGAGCCATATTTGGCTTTTAATTTCATGCAAAAGCACTTTTTAGAGAGATTTTGTGAATGTAAACAAAGCCACTTTCTAGGAAAAACACAGCTGATTGTCACAGTATTTCAAGTGGTGGCCACTTGGCTGTGCTGATGTCACTAAAGTGAAAAATTGGCACGGGAATTGAATATGATTTTCACAGATATTGTGATCGAGCGATAAGACACGTGATATAATTCCCATTTAACTGCGAATGATTCAGCGAATAATTACAGTATTATCGATAAAAATTACAAAAAAAAAATGTACAATTTTAATTGAAGTACTTGAAGCACCCAGCGATCGGATTTATACGATAAATATTTACACAAGAATCACATTCGACAGCAAGCCTCTCAGGCCTTATCGTAATATAGTTGGATGATGAAAGTGAGCATCTCGGGAAAAGCGTAATTTCTGTAAAATTGCACAGAATTACACACAAATAGTGAAAAAATACTTCGTGGAAAGTGGATAAAAGAGGAGATTGAAAGGAATGTCGAATTCCGGGCAGAATTTCTACTTTGCTCGCGGTGTGAACTCGCAAGGAGTGCAAGCGCAGGATACCACCATTGATCTGGCCAACATAGAGGCTGGAGCTGCGACTGGAGAGACAAATCACACGCCAGAGGCTCCGACAAGGCGCCTGGCGAACACCTTTCGCCTGCCGAACAACATTGTGACGACAAATTGGCGTGAAATCACGCACATGATTCACTCATCATTCCTAGCTCAATCCCAGCAATCCCGGACAATGAACAACTTCAGCACATGGATCCCCACGAGCGGCCCCACGGCCGTGCGGAGCACCGGGACGACTACTCACCCTTCTAGCCAAGACAGCTTTGTGATAAACTTCGATGGACAGCCTTCAGGTAATCTTCGATCGTCTGAACCAATTAAAGGTCATTGAAAGTGCTTCTCTTGATGCTGAATAGTGAGCGGAGAAGGTCCTCCGCCAGCGCCTGCTGAGCCGCCGGCCTACAACGCAAATGCCACAGAACTGAGACCTCACCATCACCACCACCAAGCCAGGGACGCAGATCCGGAGGGCCCCATGACAGAGGCTCTGGCGCAGATGCCGGAGACACGAGCCTTTCTCCTAACTCTCAGTCGATATCTTCCATACGTGTGCATCTTGTTGGCCAAATCCTGCTTTGACCACTTCGACGGCATTCTGGACTGCAATGTCCTCTTCGTCACGTTCTCCCACGCCAACTGGGTGGTGCGCCAGGAGGTGGCGAAGAAGCAGAACAGAAGGACCTTTACACTTATCCGGGAGCTCATCTACATAACTCTGGCCATCGTGATAGTGGGCTTCATGCTGGAGAGGAAGAACATATACATCAGCCTCATGTTCGCCTCGTCCTTCACTGAGCCTTTCGGCCTGAGGAACCTTCTCTTCTCCGTTGGCATCACGGACTTGATCCTCAAACTGATCACTGTGGGTGTGAAGATTCTCATCACACTTCTTCCGGCGTCTGTGATGGAGTACAAAGGGCGGGTAAGTGGATTTATCGCCAGTGCTAATCTCCTCTAATGATCTCCCTCGTCTCCAGGGTCGTGTGTACCTAATGACCGAGGCAGTCTCTCAGCTGTATCGCGCCTTGGCACCCATTCAGCCGTGGCTCGTCTTCCTGCTGGACTCATACACGTCCTATGAGCGCATCATGGGCGTCATCCTGGCGGCCGCCTACATGGCAGCCAAGGGCGGAGATCTGCTGAACAGAGCCAAGTTCGTGAAGCGATCCTTCGTGAAGCTGCTGCAGAACGTCAGCTTCGGCGCCACGCCGACCAAAGAGCAGCAGCAAACGGCCGGTGGCATGTGCCCCATCTGCCACGACTACTACACGAATCCCGTGCTGCTGGAATGTAGCCACATCTTCTGCGAGGCATGCGTAGGTACGTGGTTTGACCGAGAGCAAACGTGCCCCTTGTGCAGAGCCAAGGTTGTGGAGGATCCCTCCTGGAAAGACGGCGCCACGACGTTCTTCATCCAATTGTACTGAGAGACTTAAATTCGCAGATTCTCTATTCAGCATTTCCCTTTACCACACAATTGAATACCATTCTGTTCATAGTTTATAGAATATAGATTATGTTGGAGGACTCTAGTTCAGCTTCCATCCGATGGTGTTGGCCTGGAAGTGCTGACCATCGGCTGCAGTTGCCTGTCTGTTGATCTCCCGGTGTCTGTCGCGGCTGACAATCTCCTCCAGCACCTCTCCGTCACCCCGGATAAGTCTCTCACGTCCCGTGACCGGATCTGTGACCCTTCGGATGACACTCTGACGCGCCTCCCACTGCTCTCTCGTCTCGGGCACCCGTGCCGTGTTGGTCATCAAATTTATGGGGATGTCGTAGTTGGTGTGACCCTTTTTCGCCTCCTTCTTCAGCTTTTTCTGCAGTTTCTTCTGCTCCTTGCGTGCCTTCTTCATTTCCTTGGACATTTTTCTGCCAGATGATGAGTCACTGGAGGAACTGCAACTGCTCGAGCTCGAAGATCTGCGTTTGTGTTTCTTGTGATCCTTGTGCTTATGCTTCTTCAGCTTTTTGTGGCGGTCCACGCTCCATCCTGCTCCTCCAGAACCCCCAGGATAGTCCATATCACGTGAAGATTGCAATAAAAAACCCCACTGAAATTTTTAGGTCGTCTCATGAAATCAAAACAGCACTTTTTCCCTTCGTCGCACACAGCGCCTCTAGAGCTAACGGAAGAAAGCATTCAGTTAAGTGAAAGCAAAGCAGCAAAAATGGCCGGAGCGCGTCGCGGTGGTGTAAATACTGAGGATTTATCCAATGTGGAGTTCGAAACTAGCGAGGATATTGAGGTGGTGCCCACCTTCAATTCCATGGGCCTCCGGGAGGAGCTGCTTCGTGGGATTTACGCGTACGGTGAGCAATTTTTTGGGTGACCCCGCGAAGTGTCACTTCAGGGGCCACATAACCTCAGAAAATGGTGTTTTCCTTGAGCGGTTTTTGAATTTTCCTATATTTCTGGGCAGGTTTCGAGAAACCCTCTGCTATCCAGCAGCGCAGCATTCTTCCGATTGTCAAGGGACGCGATGTGATTGCTCAGGCGCAATCGGGCACAGGAAAAACAGCCACGTTTTCCGTCGCCATCCTTCAGAGTTTGGACACGACGATGCGAGAGACGCAAGTGCTGTGCCTCTCGCCCACACGCGAGCTGGCGGTGCAGATCCAGAAGGTGATTCTGGCTCTGGGAGACTTCATGAATGTGCAATGCCACGCGTGCATTGGCGGCACCAACCTGGGGGAGGACATCCGTAAGCTGGACTATGGGCAGCACATCGTGAGCGGCACTCCGGGTCGAGTGTTTGACATGATTCGCCGGCGAGTGCTCCGCACACGCTCCATCAAGATGCTCGTGCTGGACGAGGCGGACGAGATGCTGAACAAGGGCTTCAAGGAGCAGATTTATGACGTGTACCGCTATTTGCCGCCTGCCACGCAGGTGTGCCTGATTTCGGCCACGCTGCCGCACGAGATCCTCGAGATGACGTCCAAGTTTATGACCGACCCCATTAGGATCCTCGTGAAGCGCGATGAATTGACACTGGAAGGCATCAAGCAGTTCTTCGTGGCCGTGGAGCGCGAGGAGTGGAAGTTCGACACATTGTGCGATCTCTATGATACCCTCACCATCACTCAGGCCGTTATCTTCTGCAACACGAAGCGAAAGGTGGATTGGCTGACAGAGAAGATGCGAGAGGCCAACTTCACTGTCAGCTCGATGCACGGCGACATGCCGCAGAAGGAGCGCGACGAGATCATGAAGGAGTTCCGCTCTGGCCAGAGCCGCGTCCTCATCACCACAGACGTGTGGGCGCGCGGCATCGACGTGCAGCAGGTTTCGCTGGTCATCAACTACGATCTGCCCAACAACCGTGAGCTGTACATCCACAGGATTGGCCGTTCTGGACGCTTCGGGCGCAAGGGTGTCGCCATCAATTTCGTGAAGTCGGACGACATTCGAATCCTGCGCGATATCGAGCAGTACTACTCCACGCAGATCGATGAGATGCCCATGAATGTGGCAGATCTGATCTAATTCCTCACACTTTCTATTTAATTCACCCATTTATATCCAAATACATAAAATAATCATTTTGTGGAATAAAAATTAAAGATTTGAGAACAGAAGCGATTGCGCCATCTGAGTTCAGTGGCTGAAAGCACTTTAGTTGGTCAGGCGGGAAATTGAGTCACCGAAAAAGAAGAACTTTCCGCCCAATTTGACACCCCGTTCCACTTTGAGGCCGAGAAGTATGAATAATTGAGAAAATTCTCAACGCCGTTTACACAGCCACGAGTCACGAGATGAAGATAATGAGAATCACACAATTTATTAAGCACAAATATTCCATTAAATAGGATGAATTTATGTTCTAAGCTGAATTTAACAATCTGCGTGTGGTTTCTGAGGCTTACCTTGTCGCCTTTTCCGACCCTCCACGCGTCTGGGTGTGAGTTTCAATGTCTCCTAGGCTTTTTCTCTTCCCTCTCGGTGGGATAATTTAATTATTTTGCATCCCTTCGTGCCTCCAGACGCCACAAAGTTGATTTTTCCTGTTGTGGCAGAGCAAAAGGTGAGAAAATTTCTCCCAAGACGACTTCCTTGAGACGCAATTGCGGAGATTTATTAAATTAGGGCTGAAGAGGGCGTCTTGAGAGTCTCGGTAAGAATCCCCAACGGCGTGATCAGTAGCCTCAGTGGCGTAGAAAACAGCAGTGACGCCATTTCGGACCTCTTTTAGTACTTTTCTCGGCACAAATACCCTAAAAACCACAAAATTGCTCCAGGTTCCTTCTGCAGGAAACTCAAGACAGGTTTACCGAAATTATCTTGTAGAAATAAATTTGAATAGTCGCAGAATACTCCCGAAGGTAAGCTGTAACCCGAATATATGCGAGATATAAAACGTCTGCAAAGTGTTTCGCACGTTTCGCATTACTTCGACATGAAGATCAAATGAAAAGGGATTTTCGAAACTTTAAACATGTCTAATGAATTTCTTAACAAATCTATTGAAATCTTTACTACCTCTTGAAAGCTTCTTAACTTGTTATGCAATGATTCTACCCAGTGTTGAGAAATTCCATTTGAGATATCCTCAGGAGGATATTTACCTCAATTGAACACGGATTTATGGTTTTCAATTGTCTCTTCTGTAGTGCATCAATTGAAAAGCCAAAGTCTATAGGAATTCGAGTTCATTAGTGCTGGGAATTGAGACGGAAAAGGTTGAAATTGAGGTAAAGTTTCTCCACTTCAAAAGCTCATCCTCCCACTCTGAAGTTCATCAGACATGATTGAAATGATAAATGTGGAGAAAATGTCATAAATATTTCGGGGCTTTTGTGTGTTCATTCAAGAGAAGCTGGTGAAAAGTTGGGGGTGAGTTGAATGAATGAGAAAGTGAGGATGAATGCAAGATGGGTGTTTGAATTAGACTAAACCGTAATCGGTAATCTCCTTAATTATTTTTTCGCCTCTCTCGTCTGCCACATTTCCTGTCCTCCACCTTCGTCTTCTCATTTTTCTTCAATGAAATTCTTTTTTCCCCAAAATAGAGCTCAATTTCTCGACTCCTCTTCCATGAAAGTCGATGGGGAAAATCAGAGCAATTTTATCATAATTTTTTTGTCCTCTTCCACAGTGGTTGTTTGGAGAGCAATGGACCTAAAACACTCTGGCGATATGCCACCCACCTTAGATGGTGTGAATGTTGGTTCTTGGCGGCAAGTGGGGCGCGAATTTTATCGCAGATGACTAAAAATAGACACGTCAAGTTTTGCTATCACCCTCGCTTTTCAAAGAAAAGTAAGGGAAAACACCCTCAAACATCAATCACAAATAAAATATTACATTTGAGGCTTCGCACTGAACTTTCTCCATGTTCACCAGGAGGAAGAGCGCACGGGGTGGTTTTGGGGTGAAAATTCGGGCGATTGATTTCCACCGATAATCGAAACAGACCACAATAAAGAGCGCGAGGTGTCGTTTTTTGTTTAATTTCATTTGAATCTCTCTTTTGCATCCGTAATTTCATCGTGGTTTCTCGACAATCCCCGAAAGCTCACCAGAATAGCTTCAAATCCGGACCACATTGCCGAGCATGCGGAAAAACCCTGTGATTTCTTCAATGCATTCAGCAAGTTTTGTGGTTCTTTCGAATGGTGATGCTGAGGAATTTTTGTGAAATCTGCTGTATTTTGCAGGCAGGATGAAGCATTTCTTACTGGACAGTGTGAAGCGCGCCAAAGATGACAACGTTGTGGGTGGATGGCGTCGAAGAATTATTCAAATGGCTGTTGTTTGTCTCCCGGCCTCTGCTACGTCGTCCCCTGGACACTGTGTCACTATTTGGATATTATTCTCAGTGAAATCACCCCAGCCGACCCTCCCACACGATTAATTATAGACAAGCGATGGGTGGGAAATTTGCATGGGAAATCACGTCTAGCATAAATTTAACATCTTCACTCTTCACTCAGGCGTCTCTCACTTCCCGGCCAGCGCGAGAGGAGGCAGACTCTTCCAAGAATTTGTCCCTGTATCACAGAAGTCAAGCCTCCAGTGAAGCACTCTCGCGAATTTATAATTGCAAGGAAGATTTACAGTGAATAAATTACTCTTAGGCGATCAATTAGATAAAACTACTCCCACTGTTGCTATGCTATTAATTAAATGTGGATCAAATTTTTGAGCATAATCCCTCTTATCTCACGATATTTCTCAATTAATACGCAATATCTCATACCACAAATCCTCTCAAGAAGTATGATTTGTGTGAAGGAGAGTGCTGAGCTTCCCTCTTGACTACGGATGAGGGCTTTTGAGATCAAGTGAATCTGCGGCGGATGGATTTTACTAGTCGGATATCTTGCTCTCTTTTGCGTCGCTTTAAAGCCTGAAATTCACCTGGAATTCCAAGAAAACAGGGAACGCAATGAAAAACCTTGGAGAATTGTTCGCTGAATTATTGCTGTAAAAAATTCCAATGCCTTAAAGCTATCTGTAATCTTGCGTCTATGCATTTATCGCATTACGTAGAATAAATTTCTCGTTCAAATGACTAGTCATTGTGCTTACATGTGTTGCTCGTTAAATATGGAAATTGTCAGAAAATCTGCACTCAAATAAATCAGAACTTATGTAATAAGAATTTGCTATTTCTATGACAAGTTTTCCAAATATACGAAAAAGGAAATGAACGAATGCAAAACAAAGAGATATGATTAAATTGCGTCTAAAGAAAATAGTTTAGTAAGCCTTTTACTAGGAGTGCAACTAGAGTACGATGAAACAACGGAAAATGAAATAGCTGCAACCAAAAAAATCGAGGATCAAAGCTCCTGCCAATCTTCTGAGCAATTTTCCAGTGCATTAGCACGTAGGCAAAATCAATATGAATGCTGCTATGAACTTTCTTCAAGTGAAAGCACAGCTATAATTTACGTGAATCGCACGTGATGCATGCAGTCGCATCATGTATCATCTTTCTTGTTGAGTTTCCACAAGAGTTTCCACATGGAAGAGCTAAGGAAATAATTGAATTTAATTCTTCCCATTGATTCTCTGTAATTTCTTGCCCTCTCGATACCCAATTTAATCCCCAAGAATGGTCTTCATTAGGAGCCAGAAGGAGAGTCCATGGACTGGAAGGACTTTTCGGAATTATTGAGAAACATGATTGAGATTTTCAATATTAATTTTTGCTTTCTCGCAACATGTGTTTTAATTAACTTGCTATTTGTTATTCAAATTCAATTTAACTTCGCCCCCCGAGCAGGACAAGCGAACGCAAGTCCCTCCCTGCGCCCCGCATTAAACACTTTGGCAGTTTGGAGTTGTAAATTTCGGTATGTCGGGGCGCGTAATTTTCGTGTGCTGGAGAAGTTTGTGTGTCGCACTCGATTTTGCGAAGGTTGAAATGTTGCAAACTCAAACATTCTCAGCATGTGTAAGTGAAACAGTCAAATTGGGAGCTTTTCAGCTTTCTTGTCGACTATCCCAATTTAACATGCGATGACGGTTGAGAGAGAATTTAATTTTCATTGATTTGATGGGGAGGTGGAGCTCAAAATAAACACGCTGCTGTATTACATTTAACTGGGCATGTGGAATTGGGGTTTGGGTGAAAAACAATGGATAAAAACACAATCATTTTACTATGCAAGACACGCACTCTTGGCTTCTGCTGAGCCTCCCAAATGAGGCGTCTCCGGAGCCCGCAGGAAAATTGATGAACAGGAGGGAAAAGAGTCTCACTTTCACGTGGGAAAGCCGCCTTTTCGCCACACTAAACATGCTCCTCTCTGTCTCGTTGTGTTCAGAATATCTTATCCCAAATTGCAGGGGGTGAAATTTTGAGAATGCTTGAGGGACGAGGCGAGACCGCGGGAGAGAGTAAATTGATTTTATGTTTTTCACCCAAAATTCCATTCATACTTATTCAAATCTCCTTTCTTTTGCACAATACAACACCCATCTTTCAGTCTGTCGTCGTGTAGTTTCACCACGGATGAAAAGGGTGTTAGCGGGAAATTTTAATTTTCTCTGAAAAGATGAGAATTCCCTCGGAAGATTTATTCGCCATTGCACGAGAAATAATTACGTTGAGAGGCCTAGAAATAAAATCCATTTCATTATGACTGAGGATATGGGAGGAAAAACCACCTCGAGTATTGATTGCGAGACGCTCATCAACTATTTTCCCGCTGACAGTGAGTCATTGCTAAGAAAGAGTTTTAATGGACAGCTCTCGTCATCTCTTTGAAATATAGCTATTTCTATGATCCATTCAATCTCCTATGAACTGAAGAAGCTTCTCTGAAATTATATTTTATATCTTTGAGAGCGGAAAAATAAGTGTATCTTCCAAAATGTACTGCAATTTTCAATATAGTATGAAGAAATTGTCAGAGTTTTCCTTGATGGTCACACACACAAGAAAGCAATACTCTTCACATGAAAGTTTAATCATGAGATTTTCCCGAATGTACTCAGCTTGCTGTATATTATTGGAAGCAATGAAATTTGCCTGTTTCTCAGAAATGTTTGTTTAACGCATTTCACGTGAAAAGTCTCTATTTCTGTGCCATCCTAATAATTTATTT